TTTTTTTCTGTAATCTTAAACGAAAAGTCTTTGGTCAACCCCTTAGCCGCTTCCAAAAGATAAGCGTGCTGGTCATTATGATTACAATCATGACATGTTATCTATCGGACCCACCACAAAGTAATCCAAAGCAAATTGATGTTTATTTTCCCGCAGTGAATGATACGAGTGAATATGCATGACATTTTGCCGTGATATGTGGTTTATCGATCAAGATCATRGTTCCCTGGAAATTCAAAGACTGTCAAAGACTCAAGAGAAGCAGTCGAGGGAGATGATCGTAGTAACGRTATCAAATTTTATGKAAGATATTGCATGCTACCTTTTTTWWAAAAATTACTAAGTCGRGCCTAAAAATCGATCGATCAAACGATATAAATCTACTCTGAGAGATAAACACAAAAAATATACAGGAAGTGAAAGCGATGTGAAAGCAAAACACAGACGACGCAYAACATCCRCTGTAATCAATATAAGGAATAGATGAGCCCTTTAGCTCCTTMGCTATTAGGAAACGTGCCATTCAATCATTATCAACGAGCAGAGATAAATGGTCTTGTTTATCACACACCTCTTGAATCTAAAAGGTGGATAAAAGCCGCCCATCATATGAACTYCACATATWAATACAAAACAACGAGAATGTTTAGCAAACCGAGGTGTACTTTGACAGTATCCTTGGCTCAAAGCGGCRTACACTGCAATCAAGAGAGATAAAAACTTCAGAGATAAACCAGACAGCATTCTCAGACGAATTCTATCACTTAAACCATGACCACGCCCTTACCTTAGACCATCACGCACACCTGAACAGATGGTGATAGTCGTATTGACGTCATAATTCGGTTTATTTCTGGCAGAGGCTGTAAAATATCACTGAATGGCAAATAAAATGAAGCCGCCTCAGGGTAAGTAGGGCAAAAACCTTTCAACCTCACTCCAAGTGCAAATATGTTGCTATCGCTGAACCGAGTGAGTTTCAAAGAGCTCAGTGTGGCATGTCATGTCTCAAAGGTCGYCAGAYCCGTGAATATATCACATAAATGCATCCTGTTCTCCTATCAAACAAAAATTCTATGACTATGTCACAACGTCAATAAACAAAGTATTCAGTTTTAAGGAAAATCAAATAACACAAAATCATAATCTTGYAGGAAACCGAAAAAAAAWTATAGAGTTTGACAGATTCAGGTTTGACAGTGCGATCAAAGAATGACATTGTCATTTAATCAGTCACTGTCTAAACATGAGGGTGGGGCCGTGTCACGTGCACCTGTTGAGGCTAAAAATCACTGACCCGCCAACAGGCTAACAACCTGTTTTCACCGAAGCTCAGTTTTACGTTTCTTTTTATTTCGTTTCAAATTCATTGTAGGAAGGACTTGTATTTGAGAAATTTCAAAGAGAGTGTGGAAAAATCATCCATGTGCATGATGAAAACTATGAAACATTGATTTTCTCTTGYCTTGTCACACTAAACGGGGAGTCCTGGGCAACACTGATTTACTCAGTACGTCACTTCCTGTCGGAAGCGGCTCCCACGACCCTCGACCTGCCCGCAACCAGTTTTCGAAATGTAAAATTCCCGGCATAGATGTAACGGCATATCACTGCGATTTGGGTCAAGTTTCAACTATTTATCACTCCTTACATACTCCATACGTGATAGCATACTTCAGAGGAAGTCAGAGCCCAAAGAAGTTGAAATATTCATAAGACGAGGTCAATGTTTTGGCGCGTTGTTTAGACTTTGGATCGAAAAGTTTGAAAGTATGCCTCCAGAAAATGTCAAGGTTGCGGTACTAGTTCGACCGTTTACTGACAGAGAAAAGAATGAAGATTGTTCTTGTATTGTTGAGGCACAGAATGGCGAGATCAAAGTACAGAACACAGAGTTAGACAAAGCTAAAGATTTCAAGTTTGACTTCTCGGTAAGCTCCGTGAATCCAGACTTCACTCAAAAGTTGAACTCAAAATTACTTATTGCAATCTATTGTGAAGTTTTAAACCCTTAATTGCTTTACTGGATATTTTAATTGTGGTTTTGATTCGTGTKTGTAGTACTGGTGCGTCGGGGAAGGCAATTCTAACTTCGTATCACGAAACCAGGTACGTCGAACGAGTTCATCACGAGCGAATGACAAATGCATTCATTGTTTGTTAGAAATGTATGGTAATTTACACACCACAGCTTATATTACTCTGTTTTTAGCTAACCCCCCAAATGCGAATTATATCAATATTTACCAAGCGCACTGTATTTTTGCAGTGAAACTCATGAATTTTATCAGATTCGATCGCACTTTCTTGCCTTCGTACTTCCTAAATGAGATTCCAGCTTCATTGATCAAACCGCGTAACGTTGACCATCTCAGTGAATTTTTAATTTCCCTCGTATAACCCTACACCACCATTATTTCTTTAACAAAACAGTTATGTTTGCTATGATTTATCATTTGTTTTGGCTATTTTGTGCCCAGATAAGACCCGAAAGTGAGTTATGATGTTCATCTGACAGCCAGCTCACTGTCTCAACCCAACTGACTGCATTCGGCTTGCAGACCGGAAAGTTATATTCTACAAATCCCCTGTCGCAGCATTTATCCTTAAAGTGAGATCCACAAGGGTTTAAGTGTCGAGAAAAGTTATGTTTGGCGATAGCCAAAGTGTCGTAGTATTTTTATCGGATTTCTAAACCGGCTGCAATGTCTTGCAATTTGGCCAATTCGGAAACGTCACATTATCTTGATTAATAACATTTTTCTATTTCCTTTTGCYATCACAAGGCTTTATAATGGAAACCTTTTAACATATTGTTCCTACAACTCCTACACTGGCGACTTCTCTAAGAGATTCTCTTGAGAATCTYTAAAAAACTAACAATTGTAACGATGGGTACGTCTAATAGCGTTGCGACAGAAATAAACACAATTAATTTCATCCGATTTTATTTTTGCGCCTTCATTGATATAATTTTTCTCTCCCACATAGAAAGTAAGGACATTTAGTTTAGCACAATTGTATGCTTTCAGCAAAATTGAAGTACATAAAGTTCTTCAGTGTATAAAACTTTTGTGGSCTCGATCACTAATTACACAAGATGTAGAAACACACAAATGTCAACAGTGATCACTCTTTTCGAACAGGCGTTCGATTCGCGGGTTTTAGGCATTGTTTATCGAAATTATTCAAATGGTTTGTTCTTAGAAGTGATTTTTTTTATAAAGTATCGAACTTGACATTGAAAAGTCAATGTTTTACTAACATTTTGTGGCCTGATGGATTTATTTTAGCTCGCGACAACTGTCAATATCAATTAAGTAGATATTTGAATTATTTATGGCATGAAATCTTATACTGATATAATTGAGAATGTAAAATAAAAATAACAAAAAATACAGGTATAAAAACAAAGCAAAAAGTCTCTAAACTATAAACAAAAGTTTTCCAGAAGTTCAAGAAGGAAGAACATTTTATAGAAATAATTTATTGCACTTTTCATCTACAAAGGTGATAATCCCGGGAGATGACCAGACGATCTATAYGATCATACAACTATGCTAGAGATTAAATTAGGACTATAAAATTAAGACTATTTTTGGGGCAACAAAATTGTCGTGAAATTATCAATATTACAGGGCTTTTRCCTTATTTCCTATACTGTGAATGGATTGAATTGAAATCTTTTGTAAGGTGATAAGCATATGTCATAAATTCCATGCAAATCTGCAATATGGCCCTTCATTTAAGAGGTAGTTAATTGTTATTGTAATTACGAACAACATCATCAAGAATAATTGTGCAGCTTTGTTTTAGGGGCTCAATTATTCCTGATATTCTATMTTCTCACTGCTTGATAATAGTTGTCTTGATAACTGGATCTATAACCCAAAATAGCTCAAAAGCTATCACACCAATATACTGTAATTGCTCTTTCAGTGCTATTTCTGCACGCCATATCCCCACTAGAAAAAGTCATAGCAAAAACAAGCAGAAGGAGTTTGACATTTCTTTTCTTTCTGGGTTGTTTYAATAATGCTCTAACAAGAAAAGAACCCAATCATCTTATTATAATGGGATTTGATAAATTATTTAAATGTGAATTGACTGCTGGGTTGTGTGTCCTCACTTTAGATGCAATATTTTATTATTTTTTTCCATGCAAAACACCACTGAATATGAATGAAAAAACAATTATATATGTTGTTTAGTGATGTCTACAAAATATGTATAATATGATCCATGCCTTTCCTAGCTGAATTAAAGCTCTCTCCTCAAGTGGTACTCTTCTACTAGTTTGTAATATAATAGATTATAATATAATAGATTGTCATTATGCTCTCAAAGTCTGCAGAGCTATCCTTTATGTCTTCAAGCACTCTGGACAAAATACAGGAAATGAAAAGCTTTCAAGTGATCTTACACATGCATTGTACACTCTGTCTTCCTTTCTGTATGCCCAATGGACCTCAGCTRTTTAAAAGACTAAGTCATAATAATAATCACAATAATCTACTTTAATTATTATTATTTCCTCTTTTAGTATTGAATAAGCAGCAAAATGGATAATATATTTAAATCTATTCAATTGTGCATTTTTAGCCTCTTGCCTTAGTAAATACGGTATAGATTTAATCTTACTATAATCTATTTTGAACAACAAATTGTACTTATAATTGCCATGAACCATGAGAGACTAGTACTCGACTTTCTTTCCAATTTTATCCTAAGCAGACTCTAAATTTATACATGTAACTTCAACATGATCTTTMTTTGAATGTTTTAATCATTGGTCAACTACTACATAATCCAATTTATCGATAGGTGCAAAATGTTTTCCCTTTACCCCTACCCCCCATGGTATTCAAGCCATGATGTGCATCAAAGCATGTTCTCTGTACAACAGGGATATAAACAATCAATTTATCAATCAATCTTTGTCTATTTACAAGGGATATTTTGGAWTTTTTATAACATGAATACTGTTTTCCCATCTAAGAAAGAAAATAAGGTTTTATTATCCAATGAATATTTCAATTAAATCTTTGCRTTAAAATTTATGTGAAGTACTTATGAAATAATTATTATGTGTGTAATATTTGAAATGAATATWTATTTTATAGAAAAGGGAGGGAAGAGATTGATACAATACACTTAGATACAGTAAGCAGCCATATAATGATTTATATGACTAAAGATGATATTATAATGTTTTTAGGCAGTAGAGGACCTTGGAGGCCAAGTATTATCATCATGCTTTATCGGATATAATGTTTGTATGTTTTCCTATGGAGCCAGTGAKAGTGGGAAATCATGTGCCATGTTTGGTACTGACAGTGGCCCTGGTCTTATACCATGGGTTTGTAATGGATTGTTTGAGAGAGCATCTAAATGTGATGATGACACATCCTTTAGAGCTGAAATAAGGTGAGTCCTCTCACTTTTTAGGAGTGATTGGAAGTGTCTACTTTAAGAAAAAATTCTTACTAGTTAAGGTGGCTTCATATAGAAGTGGTGCTTGAATGTTAAGGAGTGAAATAATTAAAAAAAGATTGAAAAAGAATAATTTTGATAACCAAATAAAACTAATGGGAAAAGGAATGGAGAAAGAAAGATGAGAGAAATTACCAAGCAGAAATGCCAAAACTTTGATCATAGTACTATATTGTAAAAGATTCAACTCTTTCACAGTTTATTTTGAGCAAGAATTACTCAGGATAGGATAGGATGGAGGGCCCAGTTGTATGCAGGGGGGATAAAGATATCATCCCTCCTACAACTGGTCCAAGATCAGCAGCACTCCTTGCTTGTGGTCTGCAGTATTGAACTTAGGATTTAAATATTGTACAGTCATTTGGTTCTCTCCCTAACCCCAAAGTTACRCCGGGTTTTCATATTTCTGTAAAGTGGTAACACTGAGGGATGTTGTTTGCCCTATCTATCCTTTTTCTAATAATTAAATATTAAGAGTGTTTGTTTTGCCATCTTTATGAGTGTTTTTGATTGATCACTGATTATTATATTTTGTGCTGCTATTTTCAGCTTTCTTGAAATACATAAAGAGTTTGTCAAAGATCTTCTAGGTAAAAGGAGAAATTGGCAAGATTCATTACGAGGTAGGGAATGTGATATCTTGAGAAATATTTCAATAGAGTAATAAAGGGACGTGGACTGTATTTGATTTGTTGTAATGCAAACGTAAAGGAGAAAGAAGGAAAAAGATGAAACAATGAAAGAAAATTCATTTTGAAAATTAAAATGTATAAATAATCAATAGAGGTGTTGTATACTTGATCTCCTATTGAGAGACATCATGAAACTGYCTATGTAGCTAGTGTAGGTACAAGGAAAACTGCTTTAAATTTGAACAATCAAAACATAAACCATTGCACTTGATTCTAGACTTCTTGACCTTGCTAATGCACTTAGAAAGAAAACAAGCTATTGACAGAGGAGACATGATTCTTTATCTTTTGTTATTGATGTACTAATAGTGGACTTTTTTACACAGTTCGTGAACACAGGGAATTGGGTGTGTATATTGACAAGCTAACTAAGCACATTGTAACTGATGCTGCTGAGGTAGAAAGTCTCATCTCAAAAGGATTGAAAAACAGGTAAAGTTCTATCTTGATGTTCTATTGTAACTCATTTTTATGGAAGAAAGTACATTGTGTTTGTACAAGGTTAGCTTTTGAAAGACTTTTTGAAAGGCTAACAGTAGTTTGMCCCACTTTTATGGACTGGAAGAATATCAAAACTGAAAAATGAACCATGCAACTCACAGTGTTGTTAGAAAACTTTAAGGGTGTATATTTCTGATGGACATAAATATTGTAATCTTGCTGAATGTAAACAATACTGAGTCAACACTGCTGGAGTTTATATCAACAAAATGTTATTCATTCATTCACAAGGACCRAATTTGGCAGCTAATTGATGAAAGCACAGAAGGGAATCTTTATCATCAACATGTCTCATTGTGTATTGTTTATTTGCTCTCATAGGTCTGTTTGTTCTCGGTCTTCTAATAACTTCTACAGTAGCTCACARACTATTTTTACAATTCGGTTTACTCAGGTAATGCTACAATATTGCCAATATAATCTATAATGTTAATATAGCAATATGACATATAAGAATGCTCAGAAACTGAAATTTGTTGGGATTTGTAGAGTACCAATGTTAGTAATAATGATAATATTGTTTAAATTCTATTGTTTGTTAATGTTTCTTCATTGCTGGTTTAGTGGTTGATTTTGATTTGATTATTTTATGTTATTTTATGTTGTGTATGAAAATCATTTATAAAAAAAACCCTAAAGAATACTTTCAGAATGTTAGTGAAYATCTGGCTATCTGTCACTGCATTSCMCACCAACAATTCACTGCACCCTTTAAATACTAGCATTTGCATGCAATAAGTGTAATTTAGGTTTGTGCAGCATTTAGTGACGTCATATTAGTACACCTCCTCKGCAGACCTGTATTCCTTCACACCCTTCTTACTACTGTTGGGCTTSCTGTTTTCCTTACAAGACGGAAGGGCATTTCCCTGGGGGCTAGTTAAAAGCTTCGGCATTTTCACTTCTTTGCGCGRTTCCCAGTAGATATATTACAGTTTTGACGATACAATAAATCAGTAGATGCGAATACATGTATTTGCATTTGACATTGCTTATAGTGTATTAAATTATACCTAATTAAAAGCGTATATTTTACACAKTTCCCAAATGCAAATATAAATGCTACACAAATAATACTATAATCATTGTACTTACTGTTAGACGCAACTATTTCATGATTCTACATTATATTTGCAGGCTCGTTTGGAGGAAGGAATGCCMAGTGAAGTTCTCAGTACTATACAACTTGTCGACCTCGCTGGAAGCAGAAGTCCACACGAAGAGGTATTTCGTCAACTCGTTTTTTTTTTTTACGAGCGATCTCCGAACAAGTCCGACATCTTCCGAAAGAGSTGTCCTAGTTCGTCCTAGTTAAAAATTTTGTCACCTGCTACAACTTTTCCGAGTAGAGGTGGCTACTGAACTTAGAAACATTGAGGATGCGGTATCTAGTGKTTTATTCGTAACATTTTCACGAATATTTTAGGTGGAATCTTTAAAACGGCTACGGAGAATCGATCCCACAATTTTGTAATGTAATTGTAACAAGCGACACTGGTGAAAAACGCACTGCGCATGCCCACAGCTTTCCCGCCAGTGGGCGCTCGCGTCTTGAAATCTGTAAACAGAGCGCCTGGCGATTTACAGCGACAACACAGAAAACATTACGAAAAACCTCATTTTCTCAAAATAGAAATAACAAGATAAAAATAGAAACTACGTACTAAAAGGACCTATCATGAACAATGATTGATGGAAATATGAACCTTATATATCGGTGAACGAGCTTATAAATTGTAAAAAACTTTCACAAAAATCGCTTTACAAAGGAAATTAGGCAGATTTCAGCGGGAACAGTGGACATGCGCAGTGCGTTTTTCACCAGTGTCGTAACAAGCCGTTTTTGTTCTTTATTTCTATTTTTAGTTTTTGACTTTGTTTATATTCTAAGCACGTTAGAAGTTCCACGATGCATTGCGTTGACCAATATCTTTCACCTTGATTTATATCTTCTGTCGTACAAGTCTATCTCTTCTTAAGACAAGGCGTCGCCCGGCTGCTATTTTGATTAGAGAAGTCACATTTTAATTACATTTCTACTTTGTCTGTAATTTCTTTTGTGATTCCATCGCCGCACTAAAACTTTTCGTAAATTACTTATCAAAACGCCGATTTGAAAGTGTCTAAATTACGTCAAATTGTGATAAACAGAGTTCCTGTTACCATTAGCATACTATTCAAATTATTAAGCTCATATTTCCCTGCTGTTTSTGCTTGTTAAGCAGTAATTTGAAGTTCTCTCTAGTATGAATATTCAAGTCAAAGGCATATTTTTCCTAACAAGTCGCAACTGTAAATTTCCCATTTARAAATTTTCTGATATTAAAAGGTTGCTTTCGTTAGATGTATATATTTTTTTTGCGTGAAGAATTAGACATTTTTTCAAAGTATTTTTCACTCAAAGTTGGCAACTTGTGGTTTCAAAAGTTTTTGCTCTTTCTGAAGACACGAGACTTAAGACCCGCGTGTTTCTAACAAAATGTATGGTCACAATTCCTATGAATTGATAACACCTCATTCATAACGTTATAGCGGTTATTCTTTTATTTTAACCAATTTTACCTTTAACAAACAAGGGCAGGACGCAAAATTATGGCATAATTATGCGGATACCTATAAAACCTGAAATCCTTTTCCAAAATCCAAAAGCTCTCATATTAAGTTTTTTTTCATTAAGTCGTACTTATAGAATAGTTATTCTTATTGTAATGTTTTGATTATTTCTTTTACAACCGTAAATTGATTCTATAACCGACATAGGCCAATCACCATTGTTCATCTTCAAGACAATAACAAAAGCGACAACAAATCTCCAACTCATTGTGAATGATTTTTCTCCAAATTAGAACCCCATTTATTTTATTGAAAGAACCCAAAATTGTCGTTAATATTTAATTGTTTTTGAAGTTAGTTTGATTGTTTTATGAAATATTCATGGTTTGAAAGAATAAACGAGCTGTCAACCGATACACCAGTTAGTCGTCACTGATGACGGTCTTTTATACTCGTGTTCAATCAGTTTTCCTTAAAAAGCTGTGTTCTATTGTTGACTGTAGTCCTAAGATCACTGCTAGCTTTTTATAGAACTAGGTAAGTGTGTTTCTTTGTAATCTCAAGTTTATTTGAAACAGAAGTTTTTACGTCCTTTCATGAGGATTCGACGCTCTTCAAAATCATGTTCGTTTTTAGTGTAACAACTTTTGTATCCGGYGATATCTTGCTAGAAACAGCAGAGAAACTTTTTCATGTTTTATTCCTACGCTGAAAACGCATTCGAAAGTGAACTGCAAGAAAGAGAGCGATTTTTTATTCAGCTGAAAGGTTTGCTTGCTTTTTTCTGATAAAGATAAAGATAGCGAAAGGAATAATCAGATTTTCACAGAACGCCTATTTTCTAGTYTTTCGTCTTAAACGCAACGTTTTGTTTTACCTCAAAAGAGATTTACACGAAAATTTAAACGCTCTTTTCGTGTATTTCTCTTGAGTGCATTTATGTATTTCGTTTTGATACGTGACTTAAAGATACGTATCTCTTCCGAATTGTGATTTGTTTTTCTTTATTTTCCACAGTGCGCAACAAACGGGCACAGCAATACACAACCAGGCGACTACGATCAATCTCTACTCACACTAGACCAAGTTATCTCAACGCTCTCCAGCAAAGCAACTCGAAAAAGCGCCGATGAGCCTCCCTACAGGAACTCGGTAAGGCCATTGAACACACCGCACTTGTGGTATCGTTTTAATTCAAAAATAAAAGAGTTTTTTACCATACGCTGTTGGGCTTACTCTTTATGTGCAAGTAGACAACATTGGCTTAATTGACCGCCTTTAATCCTTGGTATAATTGATTTGTTCATTTATTCCAACATTCAAAAGTTTCACTATGAAAAACTAAAGATCAAAAAAGATTTGAAAAGTAATCATCTTATTGATATTGTCAAAGCGGTGAAGCGTTTGTTAACGTTGTGGATTATCCAAGTTGGTCATTCATTAATACCCTTGAGGTACTCTGATTTCCATTTGCGAATTTGCTACATTTTCAAGTATTCCTCTTCTAAAAATTKTTAGAATTATGCTAAATTTACAACTTATATTGAGCTACTAATTGTAATACTTAGAAGGTGCAATGGCTTAAACCGTAAGAAATAGAATTTTAGTTTTCAAGATCAAAAGAAGAAGAAACGCTTAAAACCGTTAAAAATGGATTTGCGTGCGTTCGGGAAAAATACAAGTATTTACTTTTATATTTCTATTAGCGGTTTCGACACAAATCCAATTTATTCAATTGAAAATCATTAATTCATGCATAAAAACCATTAAAATAAATCTGAACATAACACATAGTTTTGGTAATTGCAAAGAATAGCTTTTATGTTCCCTTAAACTTGAAAACAGCAAGGAAGAGAAAAAGCCAAGAGTTTTMRCTTTCAAATTATCATTGTAAAAAGGCTACGTGTTGGATTTGGCAAAAGTTTGTCCAGTTTTAATTGCGTGTTTTGATTTAGCTGTTTTGAAAGTTAAAAATACATCTCACACCATCTGTCTCTCCTTGCTTRGAGTGAGCTTCCCACGTTAAAACCTGTTTCTCTTCGAACTGAAAAGCCGTCACTTCTCTTTTTTTATCCGACGCACGTACATAACGTCATGTTTTAATGATTTTTGCTTTCAGGCACTAACTTGGATTCTTAAAGACTGCTTTGGCGGAAATTGTAAGACAATCATGTTGGCTGCMATCTCTCCTGCAAATATTTGTCACAACGAAACGCTGAGTACTTTGCGTTACGCGAACCAAGTACGCAAAGTCYTTAATCATCCTGAAATTAATGAGGTGGGTTTTAAATCATGAAAAGGAAGTAGATATTGACGTTAGTACYTTGGAACGAGATATYCAAGTGTAGAAATGATAACGCAGCAACAAGCTCTAACGATGTCGAAAATCCAATCAGCCTTTCAATAAAAGTGGGTCAATGAAGAGGTGTATCACGTACGCAAAATCTGCAAACATAGACGTATAGTCAGAATACATATGCGTAATGGTGCTATCCTACTATAACAGGAAAGTTATTGCTGCGGTTACGCAAGCGTTAAAGTTAAACGTAAGTGTCAGTTACGTGTTATCTGTAAGTATAACGGAAAAAATCACGTGCAGACAAAAAGCCCATCGAATCGAGACGTAGATTAAAAAAACTAAAATCATATTTACAAAATATAGTTTCTGAAAACATACGCACAAACATGTGCACCAGAGGCAATTGCAAGGGCTTTTTTCTTTTCTCGATAAGCAATAGCTACAATGCCATGCGCAATAACTACAGTGTCGCCGCAGTGTCTGATGGTTATTGTATGAATTACTAAACGACCCTCACACGAAAGCAAAAATTGTCGAAGCGATTGCCAGTAATTGGAATTTTGGATTTTATTTTAATTTATAATTATCATTTAAATTGTTAAGTTGTGTTTTTATATTTTCTAAAAATTTATCATTTTGAAATYATAATGAATCTTTTCACATATAAGCGAACATTTTTCATTTCCGCGAGATTTTAATTGTATTTTTGACTTTTATGTGAGTTTAATGTTTCAGTGTTATTTGTTGCATTGACATCAATTCATATCTTGTATCTTGTTTTGTTAGTMCGTTTTTAATTGCAATGTTTATCCCCCTTCTGCGAACTCTTGTTGAAAGTCGTATAATTAGTCATTGCCCATAACGGATAGTATAATTAGTGACAGTGACATCTATCGATGAAGATATATCAATTAAATCATTTTTGGGCTGTTTCAGTTTTGATAAACGATGAGGATATGACTTAGAGCAGTGACATGCAGTTAATTTCCAAGAAAAATCGCTTTGAAATAATATTTATTTTTCGTGATAATCTTGAGGTTGCGCGACGGGATGCTAAGCATCCCTCCAATGCAATTCTAGTGGGAAAAGTCGGCGTGAATGTTAAAAACAAAATGCTACCCACTTCTCTTCGTTTTATGTGTACTGACGATTTTCTTTATTTAAGGATGGACATGTCAAACTCATCAAAGAACTCAAAGTGGAGATACAATCRTTACGAAGCATGTTAGAGGTAGGAGACTATTCAAATATCAAGAAATTGCTTTTCTCTTTAATTGAAATTGCAATTCCTTATGGCTTGCTAAATGGCAGCTTTTCTGAAAATACGATACAAGGCGCGAAAAAAGTACTAAAAAAAAGTGCGTGCGCGCGTTAAAAATGGCGGGAAACTTGCAAACCATAAAGAAACGTCCTAGCACTGTGGCCATGCTAAATAATAGTTCACTCAGAGAAGTATATATTTATATTAAAAAGTCACGTTTGGTATATTATATATAAACTCATAAGACACAGTTAACTGAATATTATTTGCTGATGTATTTTGTTTATCTTTGTGCGGTATTTTTGTTGTTTTTAAGGGAAAATATTTACGTGATGCGCATATCACTAAARCCCTGTTTGCTGAGAACACCATTGTTTCAATACTAAAAGCAAGTAATTGACTAGAAAAGAATTTTCTGCTCAAATTACCACAAAATGTTGTAGGAAAATGAATTTCCTAAATTTTGCCACCCGGGTTTTCAAAATAAAGACGAAATAAAATTCCAAAGCGTTTTACAAAAGGCGTTCGTACACTTTTGGAGAAACATTTCAGATGAAGGAAAAGCATAAAAGGTTTTTGATTTTTTTTCTCGAAACGGTAGCACTTTCTTCTTAATGAGCACTAATAGTGTTAAATTTCCCATAACGAATTCGTTTTCAAGCCTTTTTATTCAAAATGACYCGACCGCTCTTGCCGTTTTTTGAGTGTTTTACAACGGAGTTTGACAGAAAGTAAAGTGCAATACTTTGCCTCAAAGACATTCAGGTGATCGAATTGGTCTTTGCACTGACCGTCAATTCGTCGTTTCCACTCAATATATGTTTACAAAGCAGCTGCTTTTGGTCATTTTTGTGTGCATTAGGCAGCTAACCTAACAAAACAAATAATACAAAACACAATCCAGGGCTGTAATTATGAGCTTAACGGATCTGAATCTACCATAAAGTGCCCTAAAGTTGTCCACGTTACAGCTTCAAAAACAGGTAAAGAAAGYAAAGCATTAATTTAGTGAAAAAAMAACTTTTGAYTTTCTTATTGGAACTGATTTTGTTTTGCGCTTTTATTGACTAATCCAATTCATCTCGAAAATTAATCGTTTCAATGTCTTTTGGTTCTGTAAAAAAGGTTGTTCCGGTTTTCCATTATTGCATTTCATGTCGTATATTATAARAACATCGCTGTTTTATGAAATTGCAAACTATTGAATCTTCGTAAATATAAAGATTTGCTTTTTCAAAAAGGACCTCTTGATCTCTGTCGTAGCTATGTAGTAATCTTGTCATTGAGTCAATCAAATATTGRCTTTTCTCGATGATTTTCTTAATAATACCTACAGCGGGTTGCTTTGCCAATGGTCAATGTAAAAACCAATTGAGAGCCTGAATYTCATGAAGCGTTGAGTTGTCAGTCAAAATAAAGCCGTCACTACACTTCCTTATCCAAAATGACATCGCAGCTCCAAATTAACGGAGTACAGTGTTGGATAGAAATCTCTTCCTGCTTTAAAACAAGGACTGACATTTGAAATCATCCTCAAGAAAACAGAAATAGAGACTGACAGCGTGATTCAAAAGGCAAAACGAGAGAGAGACCTCAAAAATTTGACTTGATGTGCGCAATGCTGGTAGAAATTTGGTATGAGGATCATTCACGTTTGTTTGAAAAATTGCATCCTACAAAGAACAAGCGAATTGGTGAACAAATTATTCTTTTTTGCTTTTTCTTTTCTTTTCTTTTGTTTTCATGTCTTTTTTTTTATGCAGTTTTGTTTTTGTTTTTGAAAAGCATGTTAAATAAATTCCTTCTTTATTTTTCAAAGTGAAGTCAAGCTCCTTTTTGTACATTAGAGTAATTGTAGTGCGAAGAGAGCATGCATTATTTCTATTGTGATTACATGAACTATTCGTAATCATAAATAATACTGAAATMATAGAGATAGCATATTCCAGTTTAGTAATTATAAATTTAAAGCCATTTATTCACATTATTCCTAATTTTCTATCCCTATCTATCTATTTCTATTCCTATCATTATTTATTAATATTAGATAATTATTATTGGTTATTATTATGATTATATGATGTACTATCATTATCATTAGCATTGATTGATTCATTATAATAATTAATAGTCATTTAAGTTGTTAATAACCCGTGAAATAATTGCTAGTAAAGCACATTAGTAAATTTTACGTTCATTATTTTCATTTTGTATTCACTMAACTAATGCATAGTAGATACCATCCATTCCCCGTGTATTTATGTACTTATTTCTTGTCTATTTTTTCCTAACGGAGTCGGTAGCACTTGTTTTGGATTCCTGGTTCGTGTGTTTGTTATTCATACATCCAATGGCAACATGTCTTCGATTTGTTTATGTCGATCGTTACATCAGCATTCTAACATGCTCTAATTTCATTTTTCTTTTCGAACAGGAGGGAAAAAGCAAAAATAACTTAGAAAAACAAAAGGCAGAAAGACAGCTTCATGAAAACGAAGAACTGATGAAGAGGCTTACGGGAATTTGGGAAGACAAATGGAGTAAAACACAGAAGTTAATTGAGGTAAGTGAAACGTAGTGCAAAAGAAGTAATTGCTAGACGATTTTCTTGAAAACAGAAGAATTTCTCCACTTTTAATGAGCGATTTTTTTTTTCGATTTGAAGACTTTTTTMCAAGCTATACGATTCAAATGAAGTTCTTATTAGTTAAATACAACGACATTTCAATGATTCCACTTTTGATTTGTTTTCTTCGGTAATATCATTATTTTGAACCACGTACTGTGCTCGTAATTGCTGTGGTTTTTTATCATCATTCCAAAACTTATTATCTAAAAACATTCCTTTGTGTTCAGTTTTCTTTATCCCTTTGATGTCAAAATATTTTGTAGACTTGAGGTCGAGAATATTGCTGTTCAATATCATGAAGTCGTTGGAGGATGCTTACACTGCTTCACGTATATCTCTAAACATCGTAATCTTTTAACGCTAAATGACTTTGAGATGTTTTCAAGATAACTAAGAGATCGTTGAAGTTGCGAGAAGGACCTTGTAGGTCAAAATAGACAAAGTAGTCAAAACTGTGTGTTTTTTTTAATTCTTATAATCTAATAGTCATTGTAGGCGTATGACCATTTTAGTTTGATAAAAGCTTGAACTTTGCTTCGCACTTTAGAAAAGCATTTATCGCAACGCTGTTGTGAGACAAGTTACTGAGAGCACAGTGTAACAGCAACTTAAACTACTTTATTTGTAACGGGTTTTTGTAGCGTTTGAATGAATGTCCGAAATGCGCAGTACAACAACAYCAAAACAATACGACATTTGTCAACAAACAGTAATGTTAATYAAGGAACGAAACAAGAAATGAATTCAAACCTGGAATAGAAGGAACAAAAAGCACAAAGACGAATTATTGAATGAATTGATTCATGTCAAAGATGAATCATGTATATATTTAAGACTTGTCGTGATGATATACACTTTGCTTTTAAGTGCTCCGAAAAGAAGGCGTGTGGAAAAGGCTCAATGCTCTTAGCTCATCAGATTAAAGATTTATATGATAAATGAATGAATAAGAATTGAAAATGAATAAATAACTGAATGAATYATTGAATTCATGCATAATAACAGAATAGATTTGTACATCAATAAAAAGCTATACGTTAGAGTCAATAGAAACGTTCTTTAAAAACCGATTTGCATATAATATCTCTCTTCGAACTGATTTAGAAGATTTTCAATAGCTTTTTCAAAACAGAATCCTTCAAAACGAAAAGATTAGAACTTGAAAGTGTTTCGAGCAAATTTAGAGCTCTTATTGTTTGGGTCACGTGTTGTTTGTTTAGACRCTGCAAAGAGGAACAAATAATTTAAGAAAAAAAGAGCTTGAAAATCAAACTGTAAGCTAACGTGTTATTAACTTTGACAGATGAATAATAGCGGTGTAATATTGACTTATACTGTCATGTTCCAGATGAAAATCTTTCAGTCAATCCCCGCGCGTGTTTACTGAACACACTCTGAAAAATAGATTTTGATATCCGCTCAAAGGGGGCGCCATTTTAGCTCCATTGTAAGGATAAATTTAGATCGATTGTGATTTCGCATGGTAACGCGTAAAGAAGAGGATTAGAAACTGTTTTGATGATCTTCAGTGGTCCTTTTAAAAACTCACGAAATCTGACTACACAAAAATCCGTTGATGTTTYGTACTCTGGTATGTCATTTAGTTATACAAGTGGTCGTTTATTTATTCATTCAATTACTTATTCATATTGAATTTGTTCATTCGTTTGATTCTTTATTCACATATTGATTTTTTCAATTCTTTTGATTGTATCCTAGTGCCTCATTATTTTACAGTAAATCATTTCTTATTTATTTCTCATTTATTTACTTCATCTTTTCGTTATCCATTTCCATCCTTTGCTATCTATTTTCGCCTATTCAAAAATTCATTCATTCGATTTAATGATATATCTGTTGCCTTTACAAGTTTCAATTCTTTTTCGACAATTCTTTGTGTCTTTCTCTTTTCTCGTCGTTTCCTTCCTCATATTCAAAGATTTTCCTCCCACACATCGATCATATATGTAAATTCACTACTAATCCTCCAAACTTGGGCGCCATACAATACAACAGCATTGAATTCTTAAAAAAGCTTCAATAATCTGTAATACAATCAGAAAGGATTGTATTGCGGTAGTAAGAAACACGGAAAGTTAACATTTGGCAAACAAACACCTACATATGCGAATAGCCGCGTTATGACGTAACGTGATGTCACAAGTACGCGTGACGTTTAGCTTTCTCTGTTGGAGTCCGTGATGTAATAGGAAGTGGTTGAGAATGTTTACTGAAGAATAGGGAGATATGGTTGTATTTGTCTTACGTGCCCTTGCGTTTTTGTCTTTCGTTTTTTATACGTCTTTCTTTTAATGAAGAACCTTGCGTAAAATGCCTGCAAGGTATTAAATACTTCGCCGCGATCGCCACGAGTATTTCAAGATGGGTTATTTCGTTTTGCGTGCCGTTTTTTCCGTGTKTTTTTGTTGATTTGAATTACAGTAGTGAAAAACAGAATTTGGACTTATCTGATGATTCAGAACTTCGATAACGAGAAATCTTTAGAAACTGGCGGGACAAAAAAGACTTTTCTCTTAAATATTAAATTTGCTTACTTTTTCAAGTGTTCGTAATTGCGCTTTTGTGTTTCTCTCTTTATTCCTAAACCTACTGGCATTACGTATTTGTAAACTCTTGTTTGGAAACTCTCCTTTAGCACAGTTATAGCCTGCGGAGTCTTCTGTCGAAAAATTCCCATTATGCTAATTCAACATGTAAGCAGGAACATCCATTTTTACATTTATTATCTGGGTCTCRGCTTAAATGAGTCTTAAGACTACTGTACTATTTTTAATATCTTTATAAATATTTTTGAATTCTAAACTTAAAATATTTACAGAAGCTGGTCATTTCAAGATCGTTATGCGATTGCCAAATTTACAGCTATGATGGTATCGAATCGTAGGATCTCCAACAGTTCAGTTCGTWTATCCGGCTAACTGCTAACATCTGGCGTTCAATAAATGGATCACATACCTGGAGTTTTGAATAAATTTCCATTAATGTTATTTCAAACACCTTTATTTTCATATATTCAATACCGGATCTTGTGTATGATCCGAGAGAAGCAGCAGGACTAAACCACTGTCCGRCTTGAGTTTAGACAGCAACGATGTTGACACGTAATGGCATCAGAAAGTGTTTTTCAATTTGTTCGAAATTTGTTATTGACAAAGAAATGCAATAGCGATGAAATAAGTGATCAAAATCGACGAAAAACAAAGATTAGTTTCAAGACGTCGACGACAGAGGTACTAAAAAGCGTTCAGCTGGTGTATTGGCTAAAAAAGTGTTGAGTATATTGAAGTGTTATAGATATGTTCTTAGAAACATTGAAATTGCCGTTTTTGGTGGTTGCTTGAATCACTTTTCCATTAATTCAAAAAACTGCGTCATATTGCTTGTTTCGTGTAGTTTTTGAGAGTACGTTGCTCATTTGGAGATAACAATACGATTTCAAAAGATTTTTGATGCAGTACTTGTTGAAAGAAATTTAGTCAGTTGCTTTCTAATAAAGAGAAAAGTAGGACTTTTTCAATTTCGAAACCATGTGTATTTAGATCTTGATTATTTTTTTATCACTTAATCCCACAGAAACACTAAAACGGGACATTTTCTATTTATGATTTAAGCGTCGGTTCTTTAAAACTTCATATACCATATACCATGACTTTTTTAACCGCAATTTGGAAGGATGTATTCCAGGTTTTATGTTACAATTTTCAACGAACATATMATTTAATTAGTTTGTAACCCACACTAATGAATCCATCCAAACATCAAATGTGAATTGATCTTTCTCTTGATCTTTGAATTGAACTGTCCAATGTGCTTTTAAACTTTCATTGTCATTTTCATTTATATATTTTCTGGGCATTTTTAATGAATGTGGTTTTATTTGGATCTTTCATAAGGCAGCGTCATTTTATTTATAAAATTATGTGTTATTGATTATGTAATAGTCAAGTCCTAGTTCCGATAAGTAGCTCAACCTATATCCTGAATCTGGTTTTCGGGGTCGTTTTTCCTACATACTGAGAAAATTGTCACTAGGTTAATGTAATGTTTTAAAAATAGTTGCTTTATGTTTGATATCTGATCATGCATCGTACCTCAAAAGAGCGATGAAAATTGYTGTTTTCAGTATAGTCAATATGATAAGCCTTTTTTACTATTATTCCTGGTTTTCAAATAGGCATATCGATTCCTGTAGGAAATACCTAATAACTAAAACATATTAGACAAATCTTATTTTATTAATTCTTTCATTTATTGATTCATTCATCCGCCCATTAATTCACTCATTTTTCATTGTAAGATTTTGGTGACAGACTCTAGACAACATGTCAATTATTTTCCAATTTCTYTTTTTTTCTGTTTTCAGTTTTCCTCTTTTTCACTTTCACTTTCATAATTGTCGTCAAATCATACTCCCCAAAATATAAATGATCTTTCATAGTTTTATATATTAACAAGTTTATAGGATTGATTATTAATASTGAAGTTTTAAGGGTTTTTTCGTCCATTCTTCTCGACGTTCTTATTTCTCTCAAGCAAATACTGTTGTTTAACCTTTGTTAATATATTTTGCAGGAACGAGCTCTAGAAGTCACAGAGCTTGGCTCAGCGTTAAAGTTTGAGACCGAGGAACCTCATCTTGTCAGCTTAGGAGGCGGTCGGCTTAGTATCGGAGTAACGATATGTCCTATTAAACGAGGTAATTTTGCTTCTAKAGGAAAACCGCTCTTAAAAGTAAATGAAATGACATAGAGACCTTTAGAATGGTCCGAAAGCAAATTAATTACACGTTTTAAATCCAAGAGATTACGGTTTGTTATTTTAGATTGGAAAGGCACTTTATACTAAATGGTGAAAATAATTTAAAATCTATAGTCCGCGCAAAMACTTTTTGAAATTAATGTSTACTTTGTATTGGAAAAATAAATAGTGCTCATTGAAAAATTGGTTAAAGAGTCATTCATTTTTACGCCATGGGCGGAATTGCTGGAAAASCTTSGAGTTGGTTGATTTGTTGAAAGCCAAAGAAGCCACTTCAGTGTTCACCAAGAAGTCACTTTAGTGCCAGCAAGAAGCCATTTTAGTGTTAATTAAAAAGCCAGTTTTATGTTGAGCAAGACGCCATTTAGTATTCGCTAAGAAGCCATCATAGTGTTCACCACATGGCAAATTTAAAGGTTCGCCCAGGCATCGTTTTAGTGTTGTAATTTATGAAGGTTTTTTTGTACAAAATTGTTCATGAATTTGCTTTGATGAAAATATACATACGAGCAGTMATTTTGGTCCACGTGTCTCACAACAATAAAGGTCTTAGGTTGAAGTATCTTTTTTTATTTTCCCAGGTAAAACAGTTGTTGGAGTTTCAACTGAAGATTCAAAGCCAGACATTGAACTAAGAGGCAAGGGAATAGAAAGGTAAGAATTGCCTCAATTCTCTCTTGAGTTTTAAAGCAGCCACTTTTGGCATGGAATTCTTTAGTTAGTGCGGACCGTTTTGAGCTGAAGGTTGTTTTTCAAGTGTGAAATAGTTACTGAGATACTGTTTTAATATGCTAGTTGCGTTTGCTTAGTGCCCTGAAATTGTTCACAAAAGACCACAGCGTTTGAATTTGAAGACACGAAAAGTTATTTATTTTCTTGTTTTCATTAATAGTGAACATTGTGTGGTGGAATATAATGGCGACGCCGTGGTTTTACATCCAAAAGCACAGCTATGTACCGTGGATGGTATTCCCATTACAGAACCAACTAAACTCCCTCAAGGTAAACTTTGCATGCTGTGGTATTCTTTCGTGTTGTTTCCGTCATGATAAAAGTMGAAAAAATGCAATAAATACCATTAAAAACACCACAATCTGGGCTAGTTTAGTTCCGTTAAGACTATTCATGGTGGTATACAATTGATATCTTTTTGATCTTTTAGTTTTAATATTCAGTGTAAATGTTTTCTATGGAAACCTCATACTGTAATTGACTCTAACGAAGTCGTAGCATTATTTTTGATGTATTGATGTATTGACTGATTGATTTATTGATTGATGTATTTATTTATTTATATWTATTTATTTATTTATTTTTTATTTATTCGATGTTTGTTTATTAATTTACTCGTCTTGTCAATATGCGCATTTATACTTTTTCGTTATTTCTAATCGCCTTTAGGMGTTTTCATTGTATTTTATTGTCAATTCATTTACCTACATGTCCTTGCATGTCTAAGTAGCTGTGCATAGGGGAGGGGAGGGGAGGGAGGGGGAAGTGTCATATCATCTATGATGCAATAGTGCAATTTTTATACTATGATCGAACTTGCTGCAGGCAGCGTGATCTCACATGTCATKGAATCTTTTAATATTGTACTTCGTACACTAGTTTGATTGTCTGAATTATGTATTCTTTCTAAAGGTTGTATGCTGTGTCTCGGYAAGTCCAACTATTTCCGGTTTAATCATCCCAAAGAAGCTAAAAGAATACGAGAAGCGAACCCAGGAAATAGATTCTCAATCGTTCCTGACGGCTACTTTCCAGGTTTGTTAACAGTTTTTATTTKWAAACAAATTTTACTGAGGCTTGTTGGCAGTTGCTTTGTGATACAAAAGTAGGATTTWTAACAAATTTTACCAACAACTCTTCTCGAAAATTTTCTCCCTTTAAACTGTTTAATAATATTTGTTTTCAAATACATTGCGCTTTAATTATTATTGTTATTCTTATTATTACTACTGTTGCGTAAATTATAATGTTTAATTACCGCGACAGGCCTCGGCTCGTCATGAGTAGTTCCCAGTCCCCARTGTTTGCGCAGCCAATATGGCGGCCACCTTGRTGGCYGCAATGTATTTATGTAGTAKGYATGTTTAACAACCATTTTCGCGGYCCGAAAAAATARCAACTTCAACACYCAAACTCATGCCCATGTATTTTTRAATAATTATGTGCCAAAGAAAAGTCATTCAAAACTCAAAACCTTTCCGATTACTAAAAACATAAACATATTTTGTTCGTTTATTTTATTTCAGATGTGGAACTAGCAATAGAACAGTACAAAAGAGACAAACAAGAAAAAGAAAGACTCAAAAAAGAGAACGCACGTCTTCTTGCACTTGAACAAGAATACAAGGGCGCGGTAGAGCGTATTGAGAACGAAAAAGCTCAGCTTGAAGACGAACGACACCAACTACTTGAACTTGAACGGTTACAAAGAGATGCAGCGGCCCATTTCGAGAACGAAATTGCATCCCAAATCAAGGAACTTGAAAAACAAAAGGAAGAACTTCGCGTATTTGAAGAAGAACGAGCAAGACTAGAAATGTCGGCTGAAAAGTACGAGGAAGAAACACGTAGACAACAGAAAGAAAGAACTGTTAAAGAAGAGAATAGAAAACGAGCTTATGAGAGATTAGAACAAAAGAAAGCCCGCCTTGAATCAATACAAGAAGAAGACAGCGAAAGAGTTGCTGCTGAGCTTGAGTTAGAGGAGGAAAGACAAAGATTAGCGTTGTTGGAGCTAGATTACCTTGTTGAGGAAGTCAGTGAAACTGAAAAAGAACATCAAAATATGGTTCTTCTCGATGAAGAGCGAGAAAAGCTCGACGAGATGAAAGAACGTCAAAATGAAGTTGTTCGTCAACTTGAGGAAGAACTTAACGCGCAAATTACCATGCTGAAAGAAGAACGACGGAGGGAAAACGAAAAGATAGAAAAGGAAAAAGAAAGAATAAGAATGCTGGAAGAACAGCAAGAAAAGGCCTTGGAATTGATCAATGTCGAACGAATGAGATTAGAAGAAGAAAAACAAGAAGAAAAGAAAAGAATTGAAACAGAAAGAGAGAAAATATATCAAATGGAAAATGAAAGGRTACAGGCTTTAGAAAAGATCGCTAAAGATCAGGAGAATGAAAGGAACATGATCATGGAGGAAAAAGAAAGACTTATGGAATTAGAAAAAAAGCATGAACACTCCATGAAGGTACGCGAGTTGACGGTTGAGTAATCCCCACTCCCCAATCGATGTTTGTATATTTGTTTTTTTCCCGGCGTTCCTRATTTTTTSCTGCCTTTCCCTTTTTTCCCGTTTTTTTTTCTTTTTTCTTTTCATGCAACCAGTTTTATTATCCGTTTGCAATSTTTGCTCGTTCGTTAATTGTTTTATTTTTTATTTTTTATTGCTTTTGCGTGGTAATTTACTTGTGCGTTAYTTATTTTGTTTGGTAATTTAGCTGTTGGTTGATGGCTGTTTGCTTTCTATTGTTGTTCATTGTATTTTAATTTGTTTATATTTATTTATTTTGTTTATTTATTAAATTTTAACATCTGCTGGGACTACTCCTTTTCATAGAACCTTATARGATATAAAAACCACCTTGATGATATGATAATCACCCGCTTTGTGATGTTATGATAAGAAATCAACTGATAGCATTCATGGCGACTAAATAAAACCGCATGAAAACTGATCCCCTGGTCCGTTTTCCATTTGCTGCATCAATTAACGCCCTGCAATGACTTAAATGGAAAAGGAAATCCGACTCAATGTACCTAACACAGACACATTTCACTTCATTCCCTGCTATTTTCATTTTTTAATGAGGAGATGTTATCTCAAGCGCAATTCCCATGGCATAGACTAAACGCAAGTTTTTTTGCAAATCTTTTAAACCCTATTGTGTGGAAAAAATTGAGATGTGTTATCAACGAGTATGAGACAGTTCTGCTTCCTTTGTGTAACTTCGTTCAATTAGAAAGTGATTATTTGAACTAATAGTTCATAATGGATAGCTTTTCACGATGTCTGGGGTTTAGATTAATTATTACTATGTTTGTCCTTGGCAGGAACTAGAAGATTCTATGATTTCAAAACAGGAGAAAATTGAGCGCGAGAGACAAATCGAATTCGAGTTCTTCGAAACAGAACAGTTGTTGCTGGAAGAGTTGGAGCAAAAGCAACGTGAAGCTGCCGAGCAGCTTGAACGCGAGCGCAAAGCAATGCAAGAGTCTTTAGAAAAGGAACGCGAGGCCGAGCGAGAGAAGATTGAATTGGAACGGAAAAGACTAGAGGAAATTCAGCACCAGCAACAAGAGGCTCTTAAATTGGCGGAAGAAGAAAGAGCAAAGTTAAGAAAGCAGTTAAAAAGCGAACGTGAACTCATGCACAAGGAAAAAAGTCGACTTATAAAACTCCAACACGAGTGTAAACAAATACGTAACAACGGGACGGATAATGGAGGTGCTGACTTAATACTTGCTCTTACAAATCGTAATTTGTCAAAAATTGGAAAAGACCGCTCTCCTGAGGAAAGAAAGAGACTCCTTCAAGAAGAGAAGCGACGGCTTTTAGAGCTCAAGAAGGAAGCCGAGGCTGTTCTCYTAAGCAAGGCAAAGAAGCAAAATGGCGAARGTTCAAGTATGTCGTCGTCGTCTTCAGGAGAAGATTTCGAGAGCGCTTCTGTTCAGAGTAATGATAGTTCRCTCAAGAGCAGCGATAGTCAACCTCTTGTGGAGGAATTAGAACGAGAACGACAAAAAAGAAGGCAGCTTGAYTCTTTACTAGAAGAAGAGCGAAGTACTAGTAGTGTTAACGGGGAAATCCCTGTTGATGATAAGGTCAAAGAACTGGAAAAGGCGCTTGATGTTGAACGTAAGAAACGACAGGAAATGGAGAAAGCACTTCATGAAAGACAAAAACAAGACGAGCTGGACAGACTTGCTGCTGAGGAAAAATCTCGCAAAGAGATGCTGACTGAGAAAGCCATACAAGATCGCCTTCCACCACAGGTGTGTATCGGGCATGTTGTGGGATAAGAAGGAGGCAATAAATTTAGATTTATCCATCCATTCCTCTTCCATTTCCCAGTGATGCCTTTTTTTTTTCCATTCACTTTGCAATCTATCATGAGCTGGTCGGCAATATGTTTGTTCGTTTATGCATTTCTTCAATCATCCATTCATTCGTACATTCGTTCGTTAAGAGAAGTACGAAACCGCATCGCAGCAAGTGAATAGCCCCTCTCCCTAGGAGAGGTCTAAGAGAAATGCCTTGCTTCATATTCCAAAATTAGAGATTTTCATTATATGCCTAAATTATTTCATTTATATTTCTCTTTAGGTGAAATCTCCTGTCAAAGATACCTTGAATCTTGCTCAACACATCGTATCAGTCGGTCATATTCTAGAGAACTGTCCYTCGGTGAAGGTCACTACTGCAACTTGCAAGGGATATCTTTCCAAAATGGGCGGCAAAGTACGAAAAACGTGGAAAAAYCGTTGGTTTGTCTTCGACCGGCAGCGAAAAGCATTGATGTATTTTCACGACGAGCACAAAAGGGAACCCAAGGGGATTATATATTTCCAAGCAATTCAGGATGTTTATGCAGCAAGTTGGTGTTCCAACAAAGGACCTTCTCCACGGACTACATTTATAATTAAAACACCACAAAAATCGTATTATGTCGCTGCACCCAGCGGACTTGCAATGAGTATTTGGATTGATGTAATACTTACTGGTCGRGAGGGAGGTTTTTATCACTTTCAGTGAACTTTGACTTCAGAACAAGATGGCGGCGGTGACATTTACCACAATACTCTGATATTTACCCACAATCCTTTACTCTGATAATACCCATAATTCTTTGCTATAATATTTAGACTGACAAAGACCTTTTACAGGCTATTCATATATCAGACAGCTCGTAAAATTTAACCTGTTAAAGGCGGCCATCTTTTTCTGGACTTATAAACCTATTATAGATTGTATTATTTATATATTTTAATAATATATTTCACTCGACTTTGTATTTTGTACAGTACCATTATTCTTCAATGTCCTCCAATGGAAAATTCATTATTTACGTATTTTTTTCATTTGACTCAAAAATAATATATTATATATATATATATACTCATCATTTGTCACGATTACGCGATATTTACGTAGGCTTGTTGCGTAGAAGAGTCCATGTATTAATTCAGTGGAAAACGATCCAAAAATCGCATCGAACAAGTCGTGGAATCGTTTGTATGAAGAATAGAAATAGAATTGAATAGATTTCTACAATGTACATGATTTGAATTTTATAGCAAAACCATTATCAATGTCAGTTATGAACTTTCATTCCTTCTCTCTTTGTACGTGAACGAGAGGTTCGGTTCTATATAAAAAACAATGATATCATTAAAAAAACTTTAAATTTAGACAAAAGTATATAAAATCTTTGATCCATTATAAAATYTCTGTAGTGCACGATTTACTGGTCTTGTCGAGAACYATTACAAACGCTTCTTAATTGATTTGCCTCTTATTATCTTGTTCCTTGGACAAWTTTTAATCTTGTACCCGCACGATCTTGTACTTCGTGGGAGACTGRTATCAAACGTAGATTCTTATCACATAAATCGCTTTTTGGTTAATTCTTTAAAAGGTGAATTATCAAGTATGCATGGATYCTGATCGTGCTTTCGCTCATTTTAGTGCGCAATGGCTGCGCGGGAATGATTTGGTAGATATGTTTTGACATCTTAAGTATTACTATGGCAGTTTCTGTACAAAAACTGCTGATTTCAGTGTCTGATGAACATAGCGATTTATAGACGAGATTTCAGTGGTAAGATTATCGCGAGAATGACAGTGCCTTGCGTAGGGGGATTGATTAGCGACAAGTAGTAAATTGCGGTTATGGCTTATGGTCAATTGGCTTTATTATCTTTGAATTTGATTATAGTTCCCACGCTATAACGAAATATTTTGTTGTGCGGTTTCGACGTGAGCACTGGAATTGTTGCACTACAGATACTGTAAAGATTTTGCARGAAGAAAATGATCAGATCATTTTGTATGAATAAATAGTGTACATTAATGACATTGGAACATAAATGTTTATATGTAAATAAACATTGCATGGATTTATTGAATCAAAGGCACAATCCTCCACAGAATTGCATGAAGTCATAAAGTGTGATGCACAAATGCAGAATAATGAGTTGTTTGGTGTCTCRGGGTGTTAATGTACAGGTGTGGTTCAAGAATTTACACTTCCTTCGCAGACAGTCTTTAAAATTTTAGACTATTGCTAAATCAATAGGTTAACACATATTCAGATAGTCAAACAGTTTGTTTGGTATTGCAATTTTGTCACATTCTTCACAGCTTTGAAACTGCAAGACAAACCACTCTCATAAATCCCCTGCACATGCCCATGTTTCCCTTGTTGCAAAAAAAAAACCTGTCAATATTCCAGATAAAAAAATGTATTCCTAACTTCTGGGCATTCTTACAATCCTCAAAACCATATCCTTTTCAGTTTTATAATAGAAAATGAAAAACTGTTTTTATACAATACCAGAAGACCCAGAATCTGTGTTGTATAATATGGTACATGGGAATTTTTGAACCAACCAAATCAAAGACTTATTGACCTACAATCAGAGCTTTCGATTAATTTTCTGCTGGGGGGCAGAAAAGGAACTGGGTACGAGAATGATGATCTCAAAATGAGTCGTGATGCCTGGCTACATGTTTTGTATGACTGAATCTTGAGATAAACCATACAATTTAAAAAGTACAGTAAGAATTTTATTTACATTTTTCAGTGTAACATAAATACTTTACTAGTGGTAGCAATATATTATAAGAATAAAATAAATACTCCAAATATTACAATATTTACATCGGGAATAATTCCAACTTCAAACAAAGGACAAAACCTGAATGGAGCACATAACCTTTCTCAAAACGCCTTAAATCCCTATTGGACTCTTATCATGATGTCCATTACCAGCAAATAAGGACCCTGATCTGACAAACATTATCTGCACAGTAAAGGATCTTAGTTCTCTCTAAGGTGACCACATTTCAAGGGGAAGCATCTAAGGTGCAGTAAGGTGTTGCTGATGTTCAAACTGCAAGCTGAGGGTTTTGATTTTCTGTTTCTGTTGTAACTGAACCAACTGACCAACTGTTGTGTTTAGAGAGTCATGCTGCTGTCGTAGAGAATCTTTTTCTTCAAGCTCTGARACAAGCAAGGTTGATGTCTCTGAAATTGTACATTCAAAAAGATGTTAATGCAAAAACAAAGTATACAGTATACATCTTCCATAAGCAGATGCCCTTGGGAAACGGAAAAAGGGTCTATTAGTAGAGCTGCCTATGAGAACGACGTGTGAACAGAATGCCCCATACACGGAAATGGTTTTAAATAAGTTTGAGCATGGAAATAAATATTATAAATATCATTAAATTATATATATATAATAACAAAGAGGCAAGATTTGCTGTTACTCCGAGTTTCATGCGACACACTCATCAGACAGTATTTGAGTTTCGTGCTACGCACTCATCAGAAAGTGTTTAATTAAATACTGTCTGATGAGCACGAAACTCGGAGTAACAGCAAAATCTTGCCTCTTTGTTATTATATATATAAGCTCTACACTTCCTCATGATTATTGTATTATATTAAAATTTATCATGATCTCAAAAAGAAGAAATCACATTGTTATTGTTTTTTGTTTTTTTTTCTAATAAGTCTCTCCTTTCATTGTACAACTACATATAATGCATCAATCAACTAATATCCCAGCCTCCAATTACCACATAACAGCACAATTAACAGAAGTGTTGGGAAATGCGGGGACATTAACATTYTTGAAATATTAATTCTCCCGGTATTCAAGGGGTTGAGGGCAGAGTTGTATCAATTGACTAATGCATATTTAAACAACATTGATCTATAAGTCAATATATCAGAAATGGGACACACTCTTAACTAATGTTTACCCTCAATTCTCGTTTTTAGGCGTTTGTAGATCTRTAGCAACTCTCTGTATGGAAAATCGCCCACTGAAATATAAAGTGATAAACATTTAGTGGCGCARTGCATGCTGGTTGASAGTTGAATTGTATAAATTAAGCMTAAAAATAAAAACAAATAATTAGTTTATYTATAAAATCAAATTGATTGAGTGGTCGYAAAAAAAAAACTATGTATTTTTGCTTAATTTGGTTAAATGCGCAGCCTTACACTGTTCTTTAGTCCAAGATTTTTCTTCTCTTTCCAGTATGTCGTGGTTACTGTTGCTTGGTGATTCGTCTTCATCCTCAATGTCCACCGAACGAACTCGGAGTTTTCGTCCTCTTTCAAGACATTCTTCAATATCATCATTTAGCTGTTCAACTCTATATTCTTCCCTGGTAAGAAAGATGTTCTTTTTTGTCGTTAATGGTGCAATGTTTTTATTCTTGTTGGCAGGATGTCGTATCGAATCATCGCCAAGAATTTGTGTAGTTGCTGTTGTCTCTGCCGTRGCCTTCGAATTGTCAACTTGAACCCACGCATCGAAATTATTTGTGTGTTCCAGGTTTCTGTTCAATAAATCTTTGAACTTGTCTTTCCAAGATCGTTTAGGCGATGGGCATTTAGAAAGCAGAGTCGATTGAATCACTGACTTCCATCGGTCAAGGCAATATTTGTGAGCTTGTTTGAAAGGTTCTGTGTTCTCGTCTGCATCGGTACTACCATCTCCTACTTTAAGACACCGATCGTTGAGAATACAATTAATGAGTTCTTCCCCAGTATCTTGGTTGCATATATCGCAAATATTAGAGTCTAAGCTGATAGTATCGAATTCATGGTCATCCATAATCTGACAAGAAAAGTTGTTCAACAATGGCAGAATGGCAGACACGAAGTCCGTCGTACAGCTCTCAATTCAAGTCTGTGTTGACTTTAAAAACATCCTGCCCGTAGCAGAAATTTACATCAATWACGAAAAACGACCCAAAGAGTAACTCATAGTAAAGTCTCAAACAATTTTCAGAAACAAAAACGCAGCTCAAAATATTTGACAGTAGCATAKATTTTCTCTAGCAAAACATGCCTGCCCATGATGCATAGCGAAGAATCTATGACGTCATSATGTTACATTTACGTGATTCGCAAAGGAAACATGGGAATGCACACGAAGTCTTTATCGACAATCCAAAAACAATCAATGGTTTTAATAATAAAATGAACAAGTAATGCATGGACTGGGCTACGCCCTCTGGCTTCGCGTCCAAGTGCGCACTTGAAATCAGAAAGAGCTGCAGTAAAATGCGTTTTTTTTAGGCCTTTTTTGTAAATGCACATACGCCCAATACCCGGTTAAATACCATTCTATGTGTTTTAATATTTATCGGAAAGTTTGTTGGTCAATAAAACCAACATGAACAACTAAGCACTAAGATAAACACATAATATAAATCTGACTCTACAATAAATCGCTCATAAWAACGATTCCTCCCGGAACTTTCAGGACAATMTTTGTATAATTGACAAGTTTTTTCCCACAATATTTTTGACTAGATAGCTTAGTATTATCATGTAATATCCAAGTCTTTTAGATTTTCTTCAAGGCTTCCTCGATTCCAGTACGTATTCCAATGGTCATCTTCACCTCTTTTTTCACATCATTCCAGCTTTCTTTCAGAGACTCAACTGTGGCAATCCCTTMCTCTTCCAGRTGTTGGAGGATAGAGGCAACTCGCTCTGGATTCCATTTATAAATAGCCTGGTTTTGCTTGAAGAATTCTTGAACAGTATTGCTTTCAACTATAAAATAGTCAACATACAGAATTAAGACCAAGCACACACACCCGAGTCTTACTTATAAGAATTGACCCGAGCCAAACATGAAATAAAGAATCAACTGCCAGCATTACCRTTCCCATGGTGCCTTTCACGGAGCTTTTGGATTTTGACGAATCTTTCAGCAGAAAGCAACACAGTATCCATGATGTCGACTGCTTTCTTCTCTGTATCCAGGGAATAATCGCTTTTATCCTTGGTATAGTTGGCAATGAAGAAGGTTCTGTCGATTGGACTTCCTGTGGCGGCTGACGCTTCTCTGAATGCAGTTTCGCGGTCGTTGTCATTTTTTAGCTCGTCTTCACATGTGATCACGGTGATTGGACTGTGGCCTGAAAAAGATACTTAATTATGCGACTGTTTGTCCATCGTGCGAATTAAGAGTCTTGAACTCAGTCTCCCACGTATGAAATCAGGCAATGTAAATCGAGAGTGCAAAAAGCGTCTAAGMCTGCTCGGTTGTTTGGTTCAATAGTAGTAAAAAAAATTCTAGCTGGCTAATTACAGTCTGCGCAACATGAGCAACATGAAAAGATTACCTTGAAATCTAAAGTGATCACGAATTTTCTGCATTCTCTTTAAATACGTTCCTTCTTTCAGCCGTTTGTCATGAGCCTGCACTACAAATACGACAGCATGCACGCGGTCGCTGAATTTTGCCATCCTCCAGCTTGTCGAATCACCAGTTTCTACTTCCATTTGTTCGCCGTCTTCATTTCTAGCCACTACTTCACCTCCTCTTGTCCTTCACATAATATGAAGACAATTAGCACAGTGAGCAAATAAAGACAATAAAGAGTATAACCATGTAATTCCCAGGCACTTATCACTCCCTTTTAGTCCTGAAGGATAAGAACCTGGGAACGAGGATGAGAGGATGAGTAAAGTTGACGACTCTCCTCGAGAAGATAATACCGGACATAAACATAATTTATAAAAAGGCGAATTTGTTTCTTTCTTTTTTTGCTATTCATTAATGCTCCCGCATTTTTCGTTATGATGGAGAATCCAAAATACCAAGAAATGCGTAATYCTTGTTTAACACACTTACCTTCCCGTCATGATGTTCAGCAACTCTTGTAAGGTATTGTCGTCAACATTCCAAAAGCCTCGAGTATCCAGAAGATTTACRTTCAAACTTGGCAAGAATTCTTGTAGGATGACTGTCCCCTCACCGCCGCTGCCTTGCTCATATGCTGTTTGCTTGTCTTTCCCTAACAGAGTTCTTTCCAGTGTACCTATCAATATGCATTAGGGTCGATTAGAGCTCAATCACTGAAAGTCTTTAGGGTCATGTCAAGGAATAAATGTCCTGAAAACTTTATTTCTCTCACTCACCAATAAAACTTGTTTTTCCTGACCCTGTTGGACCAAACAAGGCCACAAGAACGCGACTCATGTCACTGTAGTCAATGCCTTCTGCATCAAATGCCTTGGTTGTAAGTTTACTACCAAACGTGTAGTTCAAAAGTTCCCCTTTCAACTTTTCGCACAGCAACCTATCTTGCGTCAACTTTTCATCTATTTTTCTTTTCCTTTCTTCCTCTTCACGCCTTCTTTTTTCTGCTTCGCGCGCATTTTCGTCTTGTAAATTTTGCGCTCTTACTCTATCCATGGCATCTGCCATTTTGTCAGCCTGCTGCTGACGGAGCTGTTCTTCAAGATCTCGAACCAATTTAGCATTTTCCTCCGCGGCTTTTTGTCGTCCTTTCTCTGCAGCACGAGGATCAGTTCTGTCAATTGTTTCATGTATCTACAAACGAATGAAATACCAAATGCTAAATTTAGAATTAAATTACTGACAAATTTATTACAGAAACTTAAACAAGGGAAATTGATTGAACGTCGATTGAGCCCAATCACATGGATTTAGTGAATAAATCAATGTGATCAAATCACAGGCAACCCAAGCAGAGCATTTGGACTATACTGTGAATGACATACATTGTATGGAATTCAAAAAGAAAAAAATAAATAAAATCATCTTACCTTAATCTCATGTGTTGTTGATTTTATTTGTAATCTTTTACTACTGATGGTGATATTTWWWWAAAAAAATAGCTCTAAATCCCTTCAAAACCTTACACAACACATGAGATTAAGGTAAGATGATTTTAATTTTTTTTTTTTGGAATTCCATACATGCTTGGGTTCAGTGAGTCAACAGGAAGGTTAGTGATAGATTTACAGAATTCGTCCATCTCAGTGATTGCTTCTGCAATGTTCGAGTTAAAAATAGCAAAGAAATAAGAGAAATTTGCAAAGCACACCGTGGACATAAAGAGACAGGGAACACCATTGCAGGTGAAATCTAAGACAACCAGTTGCGTTACATTATTCACCCGACCTGATTCCCTGAACTAATTTGCATATATTTCCCGGAAGTCACATCCGGTATACTTTCGATTTCGTTTACGAGTTTCATAATTTTCCTCAGTGTTTTGAATTTCCAAAGATTCAAAGGACGGACTTATCACTTTGACACTACAAAGGCTTTTTAATCGAAGTTATTATTGACAAAATGTTTATAATTTACACAGTCTCAGGCGAGTTTAGCTTGTATCATGTGATATCTACGAAGTTTTTTATAGGATCCGAGATCAATGTATTTTTCCCAAAGAAATAATTTCAAATCATTACCACAAGAGATAATTATCTAGTGTACATCGATTTTGATGAAAATTAGAGTGATAAATAAAGATTTTGATAGCCTCACAGTATTACTCATCTGCATATTATTAGCATCTCGGACCTGAGGTCTTAGGGTCCTTAGGGACAAGATATAGCGTCAGACTACTTACAATCGTTGGCTTGCTTTCCCCACCTCCCATATCGATTTTCCAAGATATTTTACACACTTCTTGACTGCAAACTGAAGTCCTCAATGTCTGCTCGCTGGGTGCGGTATAACGTAATTGACCAATTCACGAGTTTTATGGTTCTTGAAATCGAGGCTAAGTTCTGGGAATTCGGGTTTGTACCGAGGGGAACTCCATGCCATCAGGGGAACCCCCAAAGGGAAATTTATGTACTACATTCTGCTGAGTCAATGCGCCAATCAATCAAATGATAATATGCAGGCATTATCCACTTTATTGTGCTACTCATTTGAAAACCGCATTCTCGATGTTTTTATTTTTACTGTTAATTTTTTTTTGTCCAAGTCATGCTTCGATAAATATGCATTGAAATGTATGAGTTTTAAAGAATTAGTGTAGAATTACTTCCTTGTCATATTAACTTATTGATCTTGCAGTAGTTACTGTACTCAGATTGGACAGGAGTCCAATCACGTAAACAGGAGCAAAGAAGACTTATCTTGGACCTTTCCTGAGAGGTCTGTAATACGCGTACGGTTTGAATGAAAAAGACTGTTCTTTATATCTCTTTTTCTTTCTCTCTTAGGACTTCACAAGCAATTGTTGGGGGTTTATTCCTGTAATTTCTTTCCTATGATTTCATTTAATTAATTTCGTATTTTTCTTCATCAACCGGAAGTAAATGTGGGTGGTTCCGGTCATGTCTTGTAAAACGCAGCCGCTGAATAGCATGAGCCCGCGCTATTGCCTAAACTGAGACAAAAATGGTGAGTTGTCCAAAGTATTCAACTCTAATTCGCTTTTTTGTACATTTATACTATTTCCATGGTAAATTCACATTGCTGTTTGTGTATTTCAGTTCCATTTTATGCTGCTGTTTAGCCGTCAGGGCAAAATCAGACTTCAAAAATGGTACACAGCAACATCGCAGAAGGACAAACGGAAGATCACCCGAGATTTGGTGACTTTAGTCCTATCTAGAAAACCCAAAATGTGCAGCTTTTTAGAATATAGGGATATTAAGATCGTTTATAAAAGGTGAATCATTCCTCTCTTGTTAATAACTTTGTGTTGATTGCTAGCCAAATAGCTTGCAAAACACACTCCTTCCCGATAATACAATCATACAGAATGTTTTTTATTAAGTTATTTGGTGGCATATTTTATATTTAGATGTCACATACCATCCAATAATTTTTGAGGTAATACTTTAATGTAACGGAACGAGCCTATAAGAGACCAATCATATAAAAAACACTATGAACTTCAAAGCCTCAACCTAAGCATCATATTAACCAGAATAACTCGTCTTCACCAACATACTCATGTAAAATCTTTATYTTTATCATATTAGATATGCAAGTTTGTACTTCTGCGTGGGCATGGAAAATGATGACAATGAGCTTGTTTCACTAGAAGTTATACACAGATATGTAGAACTGCTAGATAAATATTTTGGAAGTGTAAGTGATTATTATACAGTCAACTCTCTCGTAAGCGACCACCTCGGGATCAGGAAAAAGTGGTCGCTTACGAGAGAGATGGTCCGTTTACGAGAGGGTGTTTTTACATGGGAAACAATTATAACAGGAAATTTGAAAGGTGGTRGCTTATGTGAGTTTGTCCCTTACYAGAGTGGTCGTTCAAAGAGAGTCAACTGTAATTCCAATYTTTTTATTGTTAGTATAAGACCAATGACTAGGAGGGCTGTATGAAAAATATTTGGTCCAAGGTCATACCATATGGTTAAGCACAGTCATATAAAAAACTGAACGTGCTGCAAACCAATGAACAACATTTCTTTCAAATTTTTATGTATGTGTGAGTGGGGACGGACACAGTCATAAGATAAAACATTCTAGTCAATGTCATTTGGTATCTTTTAATAAGAATTTGTATGAGGATGTGATTACCTTATAGTGATATAATGATCTTTTTTCCCGTAGGTTTGTGAACTGGACATCATATTCAACTTTGAAAAGGCTTATTTTATGTTAGATGAGCTTCTCATTGGTGGTGAGGTACAAGAAACGAGCAAAAAGAACGTCCTAAAAGCAATATCAGCACAGGATTTGCTACAAGAGGTATTATTTCTATTGTATTTAAGTATAACATTGCTCCCTCCTGGTACTTTACACAGTTACTCATTCATAGATTTTGCAAATGCTTAATATTATGCATAAAGAAAAGTATTACAAGCAAATTCACATGACACATAATTATATTTTGAGGCACTATAACTCATAAATAATTCTTGATCGCATTTTATGGAGCTGAGTATTGCATGACCTGCTCATTAATTTATAGATAATGCTGAATCTCAAATATATGTATTTAAACAACACAAATAAATTGAATTGCAATAATAAAACCTGCCAATCACAAATAGGCAAAACTAAAACTTTATTTGCAATTGAAATGTCAGGATTCTGTGATAAAAAGGAAAGATTTCCTCTCATTTTGAAAGAAGAATGGATAAAAACTACATTTATCAAAAATATTCTCATTATGAAAAAGAATGAACAATAAACTACATTTATCAAAAATATTATACCTTTAGAAATGCAAAATTCCTGTTGTTTTTATATTTGGCAAGTATCTTGTTGTTCAATTTACATTGGTCAAAGTTGTGACATTTTTTAATGAAAATAATTGATTGTTCTGAGTTCAGCACTCAAGTGTAGATCATTATTAACCACTAACATTAAGCTAATATGCAATAATTAACACTTGGCATTCCACAGTAACAGAATGCATTGTGATCATGTGTTTCAATTTCAGGAGGGAGAGAAACGCAGTGCATTGGAGGAGTTGGGACTATCCTGATCATAGTTTTCACTCTAGTTCAATTCAGCTCTATCTTTATACATCATTCCTGCTTTTGTTCTTCAGGAGGGAGAATTGCAGAAAACACTGGAAGAGATGGGCCTTGCTTAGAAACCCTTTATGACTCACTCTTTTCTTTACTTTCTTTTTCTTTTATACTCTATTCCTTCTTCTCTTTGATAGCAATTGGAACTACAGCAAACTCTAGAAGACTTGGGTCTCTCTTGAAGATGGATAGCATGTTACTTTGGGAATTAATGGTTAACTCTGGGTCTGCATAACTAATCTTACTAAAATTAATGTTACTAGATATAGATGTGATATATGATACAAACTAGTTGCTATTGGCATTACATCATCGACTCAGTGAGAAGCAGAGTCCTAGAGTGGAAAGAAATCCTCTGCTTTCTGCTGGGAACATGATTTAGTTATGATTATTCAGTAACTATTGAAATTAATGGAGTAAAAGGGTTTATTACAGCTGTTCATACTGTATGTGTATAAAATTCTTAAAACTTTTCATTTGATTAAATAGATTTATTTCTGCAATATCATTGATATTCCTCATTTAGTGTTTTAAAAATAGACCTTTTTTACTCCAATTATTTCTACAAAAATTCATGTTAATGATAGTACCAGTCCAAATAAAACTTAGCAAAAATATTGTATTCTAAAAAGGACAAGGACGTTAGTTAAATCAAATTTTAGTCCTTCCAGGCTGTATCACTTGTAAAAGGTTGTAGTAAATTGTACATTTGATAATTTTGTCAACTTGTGTTTTTGGTTCTCCGAGCTACTTCAGTAGTTTTTCCTTTGGCAGTTATGATGAAAAATACTCAGAAAATGAAGTTTTGGATGAGAGGAAAATCGTAGTATGGGATACTTTCACAATACGTTTTAATTGCCCCCGCACCTTACGAGTCTCTTTATTCGGGATGAATTGAATACCCRAGAGCTCTGCTCGGGAAACAAATGTGGAACGTGTACCGGAAAATCAAGTAGCCAGCGGATGAGGCTATKTTCTACGCATTTTTATATATTTAGAGGCAAAAGACTGCCGCGTACTGTGATATCGTATGTAACAGGGTGTGATATGTTTACATCACTTAATTAACGAGATGACGCATTATTTCCCGCTGGGTTGGTTTGCCATGTACTTGCGGTCACCAACCCGTAAGATACTGATTTTCGTAGTCCATGTAAAACTCKACAAAAGCAAACGTTTTCAAACGCTTTCAACCATAAGATCTTAGAAAAATCTGATCAGTTTTRGAACACCTAAGGCTACGGAAGGCTAATCTATTTCACAATATATTTACTTAGAAGGATATCAATCAATTGTTYAATTTGTGTTTCCGAGTGGTTTATTTTTGCCTACGTGATAGCGTCAGTTGAGTTGTGACGTCACAAATTTTACAAAATWTTTACGTGATTTTATCAATATTTAGGCAATAAATCGATAATAAAGGCAAYAGGGTGTATTTTTAATATCAAATTTTATCCTAAGTTGAATTCATGACACCTGAGCTGTCAGTCCATACGGATTGTCAATCATCTATTAAAGCATCCCAAACGGATGAATTTTATCTTTTATTTTAATTTTTTTTACCAAAAATACTACTGTTTTGCAAGCTGATCAACTGGCTGATCTGAGCCATGACTTCGTGTGCGTGCACGGATACAACTGAAGAGTATCATACTAGTAAATCACAATTGCGGTTTCAAACAAGTAAACTTACACACCATAGTTAGAACACAAGTTTACTGACGAGGCACGTCACACTGAAGAGGTTCCATTAGAAACATTGAAGTTATAGCACACGCAGTAACTCACGTTAACATATCGATCCGTGTTTCAAAATAGCGTTTGGTCCTCCATAATCCTAAGAATGAACTTTTCTTTTTTAACTATGTAAATTATTCCTTGATTTCTTTTTAATTTTTTTTTCTATTTCGTTTTTCTTTGCGAAGAAGGATTCTCCTGGTAACTGATGTCTTAAACACTCTCGTTACTAAGTCAGTCGTAACAGAAGAATCCAACCAAATATATGGTGCGTCCGTAAACATTTAGGCATTTCAAGTATTCTATTGTTCTACTTACGTAAAAACATCACTTGAACATATAATGTAACACTTGAAAACTCAAACTAAAAGTCATTTATTTTCATAAAAAACTCAAAACATTTCATTTTATGTAAAGTCGATGTCATTACAAAGCGAACACAGAGTATTGTCACTCTTTCCACTTCATTGAATCAAACATGGAATTAAATCCAATATAATGTGTAGCATTTTCTCGAAATATCAGAAAGACTCTTGGTAAATTAAATAAAACTTGACTTATTATTTGTCATTTCYTATACAGCGTATATAAAAAATAAAAACATTTGTTTGTAAAGCTATAGTAAGTCTCTGTTTAGCCGGGTTTTTTTTTGTATCTTATTAAATATCAATTAGAGATAATTATTCATAAGCTTAGAATCTTAGCGTTTTTTCTTTCCTTTCTTCTTTCGACCTTGCTTRGTTGTAGATTGTTCACTGGTGTTTAAAGCATGTCCCTCGGCTTTAATGTGTTCAAATAGTTTGTTGCGAGTTTCGAAAACTTCTTTACAAACATTGCAAGCGTYGTTTGAAGAGCTTCGTTCTTTGMCATCACTTTGTTTGTTATTTGCGCTGTTTGATTCCGATGATTTCGAAGGATTCTCGGCAGGCAGGCCATTTTGGGAGTCATTCTTGATATTTCCTTCGTCATCGTTTATAGGTGTATCTTCAGTTTTGCCAATAGTGCTGTCTGTTTCTTCAATATTCTGTTTGGTAAAGCCTTCTTGATTAGATTCTGAGCCATTGTCTGGTGTATTTTCTTCAAATCTTTCTTGTCGCTGAAGTGACACTTTTCTCACCCCATCTGTATCTGGGCTTCCACGGCCWGAGCTACTGCTGTCCGAGTGCGATTCGTCAGATTCCCGTATTCTTGAKAGCTTTCGACCTTTCTGCTTTTCCTTCAGTTTAAATTTTCCAGTTGTCTTGATTTTAAGTTCAATCAAATCGATTGAGTCGGTTAAATCTAGTTCTCCAACACTCACAAAATCTTGCTTCTCTGATTCTAGCGAATTACTTCGTTTTACTTGAACATTGGTTGCTTCTCCTARCATAGTGCCTTGTTCGTCCATACTTCTTCTCCTCGCTTCTAAAAATGCCTGTTCCGTATCATTCTCGTCCTTATATTGATAATTTTCCGTTAGTCCGTCWTCCATGTCCTCCGCACCSAGTTCTATTTTAAGAAGTTCYACTCTTTCCTTGTGTTTCTTCGATTTCTCGTGGTTAATTAACGCCTTGTCAGATTTGAATGGTTTGTCACACGCAACGCAATAAAACTGCTCGACGTAAACGTCTTCGTCATCATATTGGTCACCTATGACGTCATTGTCCTTGCCGAATTCACTATCCAAGTGAGTGTCCATATCMGCCAAGTCCTGCTCTAYACCTGACATGGAATGCCACTGCTGAGACTCGTACTCTTGAAACATTTTTTCCCGCTCTCTCTTTGCCTCGAGTTTCTTTTGTTCTGAGATCTTCTTCCTTTCTTCRTCTTTCACTTTCAAACGCTCCATGTAAAGCTTCACTCGCTTGTCTCTTTTCTTCACAAAACCKACGAGAGCTCTGACTTCTTCGTTTCTTTCTTTCTTCATGGCATCTCTGATTTTCTTGTTCTCCTTTTCCATWASTCTGAGAGTCCTTCTGTTAGGTGCCTGCATAATGTCGTATTTATTACACCARGAGTATGTTTTCTTAGTGCAGTAGCTTTGCCAGAATGCATAGAAATACTCAACACTGCCCTCGTATTCACTATCACTTTTACCGAATGACGGCACTTCGGCAAGAAAATCTTCACTGATTGARACAAACTCGGCGTCTTCTTCAGCTATGGTGGAAAATACATGGGAGTAAACTCCGTAAAATCCATTTTCATCGTCACTAAAACCTGTATAAGCGGAAGAGCTGAAATAAGCCACGAGGTTGATACTATCGTCAACATAGTCATCGCCTCCGCGTAAAATTTGCTCCCGATGTTTGTCGTAAAAAGCTCGTTCCTGTGGGTCTGATAYCACCTCGTAAGCTTGAAGTATTTCTGTAAAAGTCTTGGTACATTCTTCGATATTGTCAGGGTTTTTATCGGGATGCCATTTCAAGGCAAGTTTTCGGTAAGCTTTCTTGATTTCGTCATCGGTAGCATCTCTTTCTACCCCAAGAATATCGTAATTACACCGCCTCATTGTCTAAAACCAGCACATCTAACTTTAAAATTGATGTAAATAATAAAATCACTCYCTAACGGGGCTTCAGATRCACCTGTTTTGCCACAAACTAATACTTTCTCCTCGTGTTGTAACAAAATGGCGACCATWATTCCGCTGAAYCATAWTATCGCAGGCGCTTTGWWGATGCCGCTGTCATCAATGATCGCTGGCGTGTAACTTATCACCATAGTTACAAGTCGAGCTATTTGCGGTGTCAAGAAAAGTCTCTTGAGTTTGAAGATATTAATTTTGTAAGCTAACAATCACTGTTTGGGGGAAACAAGAAACACAGCCATGCATAGAGCTTACCAYCCTATAACCCCAGCTAATAACAAGCTTTTGAAGCAAAGATGGGACAACAGTAGTTACGACACGCATCGAAAAAAGGTAAACGAGTCGAGCTTGAAGAAGCTTTGTGCAACATCTGTYTAACAGTATTGTCTTCTGTCTGAGAAATAATTATCAACTTTTTGTAATGCTCTAGGTTCGCTCAGCTACTGCTGTGATAGATAATAAACCCCCAAAAACCTACATGCATCTTCATTTAAAGCTGAAGAAACTTCAGGTGAGAATTGAACATTTTTTGCGAGGAATATCATTTTGATTCAATCGCCTGTGTTGATTGTTTTAAAGTAAAAGCTTTCTAGGTAAACATTGATAAGAAATCTTACTGTTCTTCTATTCCGGAGTACTGATTATCRTTATCCTTGAGTTTTAATTACTCTTTTCGTTGGAAGACAATCAAAACWTTTTCTCTGAGCTTGAAGACGAAATGTGTTMCGTAGTCAAGGAGATTATTGTTAGCGTTTCAAAATGCATGCCTCCACTTGAGCTGTATAGATTATGTTTAAAACATAAGGACTGACTAAGAATTCATCCAAAATCTCTTGTCGGAATTATAATTTTTATATGATAGCAGACAAGTATCACAGGTACCATATATTTGTAAGTAATAACAAAGAACAGTTTAACATATATTTGAAAGTTTGCATAAGGTAGTGGCGTGCCAGATGAAGATTATGTTGCAAGTTCGGTGTCATATTTCGGACTCAATTACAAAAGTCACGAATGGAAATATTTAGGTATATTTCCTTTAGTTRCCCATATAAAAAGTCTTGAAAGTATCTTAATTCTTTCCATGATTTTTTTGTAACGCGATAAGTTTTGAGAGCATACACTTCTAAATCTGTCTGAAAAGGATTWAATGGATTTATCGCTGACGTGAAGAAATCTTTTTGGCCAAGTCTTTTCCGCTCAGGACTAATGATATTGACTTTTTAACTGAAGTTGATAATCTTTAAATATTAGTCTTTGACACTTTTGTAGTAATATCTAATGATGTAAAAATTTGTTGATATAAAAGGATTTTAAAAAGCGAAAAAAAAAAATATTCATTAAAATTTACCAAAAAAGAAGTTATGTTATAAAAGCTTGAAACACTGCCAAATATCCTTCTTTACTAGTARGTTGCCATCGTTCGTTGTTTTCGAATATTTTTTTTTCTTTTCCCATAAAAACATACTACGAAAAAATGAGAAATATGTATAGGGCGAATCGCAATACGACTGACGAGCAATTTACATTTAAAATTGGTATTGATAATTTTTAAATTTCAATCTCCAGTGCGATGAAGAACGTAACGCGACAATCGAACGAGACAATCGTATTTTACTGGAAAAGATGTCTTTTATCATGCGTACAAGAGGACGCGTCGATAATCGTAACGACTACGAGCATAAAAGTTTAAACAAGACTAAAAGACAGCGAGAATTACTYCGTGTCACTCACGAGAACCAGGTGAGATTTTAGTGAAAATGTAAATTTGACATATTCCGAAAATTTGCGTCTTTTGAATATTGTATGACTCAGTGACAGAATAAAGTTTTCATTTTGTTTCGGTATTTCGAGTTGTCCAATCTAATTGTTTCCATTTGTTTCTTGTGACATTCAGGCAATTTTAAGAAGAATTGCATCTAAAGAGCCACATTACAACCATCTTCAGTGGGTAAGTAATTGATTGGTGGAAAGTATATGAAATTTCATTGGCTGAAAATGTGGGAAGCTATTTCATTTTCGCTATTTTCGCTCTGCCATATTTCTGCTCTGACGCGCGACATAAAAAACTATTTGGAAGGCTATTCTGCTCTGAAGAGAGAATCTCTGATCTCTGAGCTGCGTGTTTCACGGAAGTGATGAAAAACGTAAATGCAATTCAGTATACCACGTACAGTTGTGGACGGTTTTTTTCTCGGCAAACTTTTGAAAATGAAAAAAAGTTCCTTGTGCTTGTATTCATATAGTCAGCACCCACTTTTGTATGCGATATATGCTCTCATTTGCCGTTCCACGTTCGTCACTAATAATTCCTCGCATTTTAGGATGATGAATGGGCAATCAACGAGACTTACATGGATAACATTGCCAAATATCCTAAAGACTGGTACAATCAGATGACCAAAAACAAGAAACATTCTCGTAGTAAATCCGAACCAGACAAATCTTCCAAGAAAGACAAGGAAAGCAAGAAAAGGAATTCAGTTGGTGCAGAACCTGCAGGTCAAGAAGCACCTGAAGAAGAAACAGAGGAAGTCGAGGCATAATAATTTAAATTGAATTTTAGTGAAATTTTATCTTATAATTTACAATATTTCAATATATGAAAAAATAGCTTTCTTGCGGAAATCTTTTAACGTACTGTATTTTTAATTTAATAGAAACAAGATATGTGCTTTAAAATGTTTTATTTTTTCAAATTACTGAATTGCTACAATTTGAAAAAATCGTTCTAACTTCACGGTACTCCAAATGCTTCTGACTGGATTTGCGTTTATTTATTTTTTAGAAATCGAATAGAAAAGTGTGCTACAATTCAAAAAACTTGTATAAAATATTGTGTAAAATTAAAAAAACGTTTGCATCAATGAGATGTTGCTTTGTTGTCAGTAAAAAAAAAACAGAAAAAAAAACGGGCAAAATACACTGGATGTGTTGACGTCATCAGAKCAAATTCAGATAATAAAAGTCCACTTTCTCGGCAGCTAGGCTCTACTGACTTATTCTTTCGCGTGTTTTTTCTCGCGTTGGCATTTCATTCAGAATTATTGACAGAGTATAGCTGCCTTAAAATATTCAAGACTACGAACACCATTTAATACACATTTAAAAGGTTAAAACTTTAATCATTTATATACAAATATATTGAGTTTGATTTAATATCAGACTTCAGTCAAACAAAAAATAAGTGACTTGATTGTCGCACCAAGCAAACTTGCTTGGTCACTGAGTGAAAATTGCATAAAATATGATACATAAATGTCACTTTTGAAGTAAAGCCGCATTTCAGCGAGTATAATATCCCTCGACTGTTCGTGCGTGATAGTTTATTCATAGTTAATAGAGAGGACTCTCTATCAACTATGGTTTATTACATTGCCATTGTCAATAATAAAATTCAAAAAGAACTCTAAGATTCCTGCAGCTGGAATAACGAGAGCATATTTTTTAAAAAGAAATTAGTGCACGCATCTTTTACCAGCTAAAATCATATACGTGAACGACTTTACCAGTAATTAACAGTGGGTTAAAGGAACATAAAAACAGCAAAARATACATCTATTTTCGAAAATTCTGTTTTTGAACCTTCCTTTGTACCTTCAAATGTCCTACAGTGGAACCTCGTTAATCCGGCCAACGAAGTGACTTTATTAAGCGGGAAGAAAAGTATGGATCTTGAATTCACCGGTACCTAATATGAATTTGGCCGTTGTGACGAGGTTGCCGAATAAAGTGGGTGGCCGTAAGTCGGGGTTCCAKTGTACTTTTTCTCTCTATATTACAGAATTTTAAAAATTATGTAGTCCAAGGTTTATTTTAGCACGCCCACCTWCAAAAGCAATGTTTACYACCTTCAAAAGCTGAATAGAAGTTGTCATATCAACCAGAATTCACTTCGAAATGGGGAAGGAGGGGAAAAAACTAATTAAACCTTGGTAACATACTTTCAAACAGTTATATATAGTTTTGAATTCATCACTCAAGATGAATTATTATTCTTGGAGAAATAGGTGTCAACACTAAACCCTGGAGCAACTTTAAATGTATATTAAGATTTCATCTAGTGCAAAGAAATCGTATAAACAGGACTAAAAAACAATCAATTGGTTAAAAAGTTGCTTCGTAGATTCAATGTCAGCAATCGATTATGCAATATATATATTATCATTTTAACCTATTTTAGTATAAGAAAAAAAGAAAGTCCTTGACTTTATGAAAGCTGCATGAAGAAMTGAAAATGATCTAAAAACAGCTTATTCTGATGTTGAATGATTTTTTAAATGATCCTGTTCGCAGTATTCTGCCATCAAGGATTAACCACATAGCCTCCATTGCAGGCTACTACAGAAGACACTGRAACAGAGGCCACTAATAACATTTTGATGTCCTCAAATTAGTACTAAAAAATCCAATATATAGTGGTTGGCTTTTCATTGAACACAAACTGAATCATTTCTAACCAATGCATACTGTATACAGCTTTGTATGCACTGTAAAGTTGACTATGGTTAAATCAACCAATAAGGAAATTTTTATCTCAAATGCAAAAACAACAAAATGCATCTGAAATGACCAATTCTTAATGGTTAATTTAACCATAATTTTTTATCAGTCTGTAGTATTTCTTATCTGATTATGCAACTTGGTAAGGGGGTGAACATTTTGAATTTTGTGGTTTTAAATTTTTTGGTTATAGRAATATATTTAGGACAAAAATGGGGGGCACCAGCCCCCTTGGATCTGCCCCTCCTGTAATTGTCTGTCCTCTATTCCTTGTGATCTAAACAGATATAATATTATGTTGTTTTGTTCCATGCTTGGTTTTCAGATAATACTGACTATATCTAAAACAATACTTGCAGATCAAATATCATCTATTTTRAAATATAGATAATAATAACAAATGTCTGCGCATACTGTCTACCAGGATGCTGAAGAGGGTACTTCTTGTTTAGGCATAGGACGAGGCTTTTTGGCTGGGGAAACATGGCACTGAAAATATAGGAAAAAAATATTGAAATTCCTTTCTTTATTTGATGATATTTTAAATATGTGCTCCTAGTGAATAGAACTACTACAAATGCTGTGAATTAGCGGTAAACTAGTGTGAGCTGTGTCGGTGTTTCTACAAAAAAGGTTGTGTAAAAAGATATATTGAACGTAAAAAAATAGGTGAAATAACTTACTGACAGATTAACGTCCGAAACATCAGTAAGTTATTTCAACTWCTTTTTTACAGAGTTGAATTTATCTTTTTACACAACTACMAAAAATGCTGTCTAATATCTGCAGTTAAAGAGTCATTTTAAAGTCAAAGTTCAGATCTCTATAGTATTATACACACCTTTTCCCATCTTTCCAACATCTTTTCATACTCTGAATCAAAGTAGCCAAAAACTTCCTCACAATCCTACAAAAACAGTACAAAGAAAATTGTAAGAAGATTTCCCATTGAGAAAATCCACTATTATAATCTATTTTATTTTGCCTTCTCCACAAGCAACCCTTCATTTTGTCCTTTTGGGATCCCTCAGGTATCATCTTGGCCAAATCAGAGCCTGAGGCGGAATAATCCCATAATCCTCTTCAGTCCTACATGTATCAGAAAACACAAAGCCCAAAAGTATATATAAAAAAAGAAAAAAACTGGAGAGATGCCTGCAGTGAAAACTAATTTTTATAACTAAATTAATCATGGTGAACCATACCTTCCATATGTCATGGCCAGGTGGATTGTACTTGAAGCAGTTTGTCTTGATTAAAACCATGTCTTCATGGAATTCCATGTAGTCTCTGTATGCACCACTCTAAGAATATCAAGACAACTTGTTTTATAATAATTTTTAGTAATGCAAACAGCACTKACATTAGCAAAAACAACAAATAGTAAAATTATTATAATTGTTGTTTTGTTAATGCTGTGATGTTATTGAACTTTGTATATGTGATATTTGATTTTAGATGGGAATGCAGAGTAGAATTCAACAAAAGTGCGTATATATTTTGTGGAATATCAAAATTTTGTATCCTTTCTTTTATTCTTTATTTGAGARTGAAATTACCTCTAGTTTTGTTTTGATAGTACTCAGATCCATTGGGTTTTTGATGACTTTAAAGTAACCTGGTGCCTCATTAGGATCAACTGGTCGAAGGAACCATGAGGCTGCACTGTAGTCACCTTTCTTTCTTCCCTGACCACGATAACTGCAGACTTTTTGCAGCAAGCTAGAAAGACAAAGAAGAACTTACACACAAGATCAAATGAAGTGTTAGAGATTATGAAGTAAAGMCATCCCCCTAAAGGAATACAAGAGCAGTCCATTGATTGACATTATCCATACTCCTACATTATGCAGCATTGTTTGACACAGCAAAAAGTCAGATAGTGTTTTACTTATAGTATCAAACATAACTACAAAACACTATACCTGAGTGCTCCTCTAACCCATCCACTTGTTTGCCTTGGAGGAGAAAGAGTAAGAACAGTAGGCGGTTTTCTTTTTCTACTGCTTGTCCGCACATTTGCAATTGCTTCTAATGCAAGCTTCTCACTCTCTGATAATTCTTGTCCACCAGAACTTGATGTTGCCAGGTCTTCATTATTSGTTAAATTCAAACTTGTCGAAATTGTATTGCTCATTTGTGTAGAATTCTTTTCTAAAATATTTATGTTTTGTGGAATATGAGTYCTTGAGTTGTTTTCCTCAATAGCTTTTTGAGCAAATTCCTTCAAACTATGAACATTAAGACTGCTGCCAGTCGAAGCATTTTCACAGACATCTTGGAGCACAATGTTAATGTTGTGTTTTTGTACAACATCTGATGGTTGCAATTCACTAGAGGATGAAGTATTTGCATTAATTATTCCAGTGTCTAAAAAGTCAAAATCACTCAATATCGAACTGCTTCCAGCTGATAAATCAGGKAAAGAAGTCTTATTATTTTCATCAGTGTTGCAAAGTGATTCTTTATCAGTGTTTGTATTGCTTTTAATTTTTTCATCTTTCACGCCATTATCTTCTGCTGCATTCACYTTATCAGTACATGAATTATTTGTAGTTTTATCATCTTTGTCCACAACCTGATCATGGGAAAATATTTCCAAAAATGAATTCACAGCATCATAGTCTTCAACATTTCCAGTTTTATCAAAATCTTTATTTTCCTCAAGTTTTGTGCTATTTTCTAAAACCTTATCTTGGTTGTTTCCATCCTTGATTTCCTCCACTTCAACATGATCGTTTGCATTTAACTGTGTTGGTTGTGKATCTAGAGCATCTAGGACCTCCACAACAACTTTTGGGTTTTCAGGGAGAGGAGGTGTTGGAGTTACAGSTGTTACAGAAGATAGTGRTTCACGGTTACTCTCTTTMTTATCATCAGTGATATTGAAAAGTTGTGATGGCTTCAGTGGTGTGCTCATTGACAGTTCTTCAACAGGTGTGGTCTCTGGTGTCACTTCTTGAGAAGATATCTCATGTAAGCCTGCACCACTGTCAATTGTCTCTGAACAAACRAATAGAGAGTCATCTTCTGAAGATGTATTGTTATCAGCCTTGCTGTCTTCATTGTCTAATGGTTCTTTGTTTCCACTAGTTACATCACTGGAATTGCTTTTGTTTTTATTTTSATCCTTTTCACAATGTCCTCCTGCTTCCAAAGATGAAAGCTGTTTRACATCTTGTGTGCTACCAATATGCAAAGTACCTGCTGATTTGCTGGTAATAGTRATCTGTTGTCCAGGTTGTGCCAGCAAAGTTCCTGGAGCTGCTGACACTTGAGTAGAGACAACTGGTACAGTCTTGGACACYCACAATTTAGACACCATGGTTGGCTGTGTTGATTTGGCCACAAACTGGACAAGTGGCACTTTACCAGTACTACCTAACAAGGCAGTATTACCTAACGAAGCTGTATTACCTAACGAAGAAGTACTAGCTAATGAAGTAATAGCACTAGTGGTAGTTAATGCCTGGTTGGGTTTAGCKACAGGTAATATGACTGTAGTCTTAGCAGGGGCTGGTAATATCTGAGGTAGTTTTCGTACCACAGTGTTACTTGACAMTGTAGTTGGTGTTGACACAATTACAGGCTTAGGTGGTGCAGGTAATAACGTTTGTAGAGGTCTAGTCCGTACTTGACTTGACACCACCTGTGCTGGGCCTTGCTTGGGTATGATGGGTATAGGAGCCTGTAGGACACTGCTAGGTTCTGTACATTCCAGAGATGGTACACTTACTACTTTAACACTAGTGTCTTGTTTATCAGCAGCAAGCTTTGTAGTGTTGTCTCCAGTAGTTAGTATTTGTTGAGATGTAATACCTACAAAGAAATACAAAACTAAATGCACCCACATACTTTTYTATCAAAGACTATTTTATGGATAAGAAGTGATCAGAAATAGTCAAAAGTAAAATGTACCTGTAGTCTTAGTAGGTTTGTTCATATTCCCYCTSAGAATACCCTGRACTTGTGTGACTGGRGCAGGYACGGAGAGTACAACTTTCTTGGTACCACCWACTATGGTTGTCATGACAACAGTCTTTGCTGCAGATGGAACTGTTGAAGTTGTTGCCATTCTGTTTGCCGATGACTGAGTTGTTGAAATAGGAATCTTGGTAATGGCTGAACTACCAGATAGCTAAAATAAGACATACCGTACAAGTTAAATACTAACAAAACTTATCATCAAATTTTCAGTGACATGCATTATATTATTGGGTGGCATTGACATTGTTTGCTCACATGAATAATYTCAAATTGTACCAAGAACAAACATTACAAATAATCAGACATTACTAAGAAGCATAAAACAGCATCAACATGAAATTTTTAAGCCAAAATTTGAAAAAAMATTAAATGTCTAGATTGAATATCATTTTAGTGGTGGTCAAGATTTTACCAACCAGCCAGCTTAAATTTACTGTAAAATCATACAAAATGTGTCACTTCTTTTCTCTTCAACCTTTTGCCTTCAGATTTTCAGATGTTATTACTTACTGGTAGTGCTGTTGGTTTAGAAGCACCAGTTGTATTCAATGCTGGCTGTATTGTTTTACCAGCAGAGCTGTTTGCAGCTCCAGGAACTTGGATAACTCTAACAACAGGCTGGGTACTTGAAGCAGTTGTTGAAGTAGAACCTGATTAAATAATAGACAACATAGTCTTTAACAGTCAGAGCAAAAATACATATTTATCAGGCAATTTCAACCTATAAAATGCATTTAGTAAAAGCTACTTTACCTGTTAAAGTGGTAATATTTGTGGTTGGTGTTGCTATGGTCACAGGTGTTGACGGCATCCCCATGGCAAGGGCATTGACAGACTTAAACTTCACTGCGCCGGGTAATGGCTTGAACCTTGAAGGTTGCTTTCCCCTCTGTTTAGARGCAAACTGTGTCATTGTTATYCCTGTTTTTATTGGCGAGATACTSGAGACTGCTTTTGTAGAGCTTGTTGACACACTAGCTTTGGGCACAAGTACATTTTTAGATGGCACTGCTATCTTCACTTGTGCTTTTGGTGCAGTATGGCTTGATACTGTTTGGACTTTGATGGCTGCTGGGTTAGTTGAGGCTACAGTCTTGTAGTTAAGCATTGTCTTTGCCTGACTGATGGTCTGTCCAATGGAAACTGTCTTTGTCAGGAGCTTTACTTGAGACTGTGATGCTGGCAGAACAAGCTTTTGTGTTGCTTTTACTGTTCCCATTGATGTTGATGGTTTTCCAACTTTTGTCATGGTACTGGTGCTAACTGAGGAGGTTTTGTTTCCAAGCTTGTTCCCTAACATTGATGGGTTCAGAGAGATCTTTTGAACAGGTTTTGGGCTGGTGAGACTGAGTTTACGTTTTTTCTTGGATTTATTATCATCACTGTCATATTCCACATCTACTGTCTCTGAGCCTAAACAAATTTAATAATTTAATAATGATCTGTTGTATTCTGGTTAGTTTTCTTTGTACTTTGGAGTATTGTTTAGCTTCTGATCCATTGTTTTGACCTTTTGTTTCTATTGAATTACTTAATATGTMCTCTTATCAATAGAAATTAGATAAAAATAAAATATAACTGAAAAAATAAACATCACATCAAATCTTCGCGTCCGACCTTTATGGGCTATAAAACTACTCGCTTGCAGCTCGCAGTTTTAAATGCCAATAAAGGTCTCCCGCTCATATTTTATATATTACATAAAGGTCGGATGTAAATATTTTATATTGCTTATCAAATTCCAACATAAGGTAAAGCATATTTCGAAAAAAAAAAAAAAATGCAGGATAAAATATCATTTGTAAGAGAAAATCGAAGTTAAAGTCGTATGCAAATCAGGACAAATCTCTTGCTCATATAAAGATGTGGTCACGGCAATGATTTTKCARTGTGTTACCTTATGAATTATTAATGAATTTGATAAGTTGACTTACTTTGTCTTGCTAATGGTTTTGTTGGTGATTGCTTCAATGATGAAGTTAARGACTCCTTTGATGCCTGAGCTGAAGAGCCAGCCACCTTTTTGGCTATTTTTAGAAATATACAACACAATAAGTCCAATCATAATACCATTATTATAAAACATGAGTCAAACTGTTCWATACACAGTGCTATACCCACCTTGGGCAACTTGTGCATTTGCAGCAGCAGCAGCATTAGCTGATGCTGTCGCTGTTCCACTTAAAACAGTCTGGGGTACTAGSCGTGGCATTAAAGGCACAAGCCTTCTCCCTTCTGCAGCCCATTCAGAGCAGGTACTTGGCCCAACAATACTAGTAATGAAAACAACATAGTGACTGGGTGAGCATAGTGTTATGAGGGATGTGGATGTGACACAATAAGCTAGTCCAGCGTATGACATATTGGTCAACATARTGTTCACCTACCATTCTGCTACAGCTCCAAGCCTGTCATCGCTGTATGCTCTTCTTACTTCTGCTCTATGCCTCTCAGTTGAAATACTGTTGAACGACAAATGAGAATTCAAAAGACTTACAATTCAATTCAAAATAATTATGAAGAATTATTCTTCAAACCTTAGATGCACTCCAAGATCTGTCAACAGTTTCTTTTTCTCTCTGCAGAAAGATGTAAAAAAAGAAACTGTCAATAACTTACACAGAGTAAATTATGCACATCATAATAAAACATATAATCTGCACATAAACATTGTTGTTTGCTTGGGTAAATACAACTCAAACACCATAGTAAACTACTTTAAAAASTGAAAAGTCAAAGCAGAAACCTGCACAATTTTAAAATATAGAATAAAGTAACTTCTTGCCCTTGCACTTCTATAGATATTTACATCATAATGATTTGTCAACATAACTCATTTAATACATTTAAAAAAATCCATACCTATTCAGGTCTCCTTGAGCTCTGAAGGTACTGACAATAGATGAATAGGCTTCAAGCTCTAAAAGGAAAACASAGTTTTCACATTATCAATAAACATGGGTATGATTTTGTTGTTGTGTTTTTTTTTTTGTTTTTTTTTCTTAAAACTTGAATTTTAGAAAAGTGTCTCTTCTTTTAATTTTTCATCATCATGGAAAAACATTGAACACAGAAAGTCAATAATTATGTGTATGATTATACAACGTATGCAATTTATGCTGGTGCAAACTATCTACATGCAACAATAAAAAGTAATTACCTAGCCTTCTAAGAATTCTTTTAGCTTCCTCTCTGCTCACTTCCATTTTTCCAAAAATGTTCACATTCTTATTGGGACTACTGAAACAACAATAATATACAAATATTAATAATTGTTTGTTTTCAATTAATGTCAAAGCAGATATTTGGTTGCACTTCCAACAAAACATTTGTTTAGTTTTTTTTATACTACAAACAAATATCTTTTGGTAACCAAGGGAATGATTGGCAGCAATTAAAATTTCAGCTGTTTCACAATGAAGGGAATAACACAGGTTACACAGGTTACCCAATCTAAAAGCAATAATGGAACAAAGCAACAAAGGAACAATGTCTGAGACCTCAGTAAGTTTTCTAACTTTTTATGGTGTATAACTTATCACTTTATCTTATCAAGTATTAATTTCATTTATGATTGGCAAAGGAGACCATTTTGGAATTAACAAATTTTTTTTCAAAGGTAAAACAAATTAACTGTACAAAAAAAAAAAACACTTTGAAGAATTGTTAAAAGCACAATTTTATTAGAATTAATACATTTTTTTTGTATTACTGAGTCACATATTTCTGTAAAAAAGCCTGT